TGGGCAGCAGCGTCCCTCTTAAAACATATGTTAAAGCCTAACTGCATTTACCAACCCGCCTGCCAAGCGTGGCAATTACTGGCAAGACTCCCCTTATGGGGAAGGCTAATGTTCAGCAGTGGACAGATAACGGCTGAAATAAAACTCAAAAACAAATTTCGAGTATTTAACATACTCGAAAATTTGTCGTGTATTTGTTGTAAGACTTTATATTTTATTTTATCATTATATAGTTTTTATTTTCCTTAATTATCAAAGAAAAAATAGTAAACGATTGAACATTAAAAATCTTAATTAAAATTAAAATATTTCGAGTCCAATGAAGTACTCGAATATCTGTATAAGCTTCCGAGTCCTTATTACCCGAGTCTTTTTTTATAAGTAGCATAATTTAAGATATTAATTATTTCAGAAAAAAAAAAAGACATAAACCATAGCATACTCAGTTATTTTGAATTGAAAAATTAAAATATTTAACCAGTCCTGATAAAATTTCTGTAGGATTTTCAGATAGCAAAATTTACAAATCGGTTTATAACACAGTTATAAGGCAACAAATTTAAAAAAAGAACCGAATTAAAAAACTCCTTTTTTTTTTAAATCACTACAAAATACTCGAATACTAAAAAAAATCGACTTGGCACATCACTAATACGTACTCATGTGGGAATGTTGGTAACCAGTGTACTTGTATTACAGTGCATATTTAATGCATTATTGTACAAAATTGGAGTTGCACGATTAACATCCGTTTATGATATATTTTACTGGCTGCATCATACACATTTGCCCAGTATTTTGTCTTGTTTATTTCAGTATTGCGATACTAAATCACTATGTATTGTGCTATAAGAATTAGCCAGCGATAGATTTACACATACGCCTCGTGTAGTTTAATTAAATTTTGCCGACACTAACGCCCTCTACAATTAAGTATCCTAGTTCGCAATCTTATAATTTACAATTTTTTTTATCATTTAAACTATAACTTTATTATTTGAAGTCCCATAAGCACACATTATATTTTAATGTAATAATTACAGGTCTTTTTTTTATTTACATGTAATTAGATTGAAAAAGATCGACTAGTTTCGGAACCAATTCGTGATCCTTAACCTTAAATTGGTGCAGATTATATTTGGACAGAACAACATAAGCAGGGAGAGAGCTGTTAAGTAAGTTGTTAAATCTCACTACTAACAATCCTTTCCCCCCTAACTTAATTATGTTAAGTAAACGTATGAGTCTCCTAGAAATAGTAAATCTGAACTTAGAAGATACTATAACTATAACAGGGCACCAGTGAGGGATGATAGGTGAGAATGAAAAGACAGGTAAGTTAGCCCATCGTGATGAATACACCTGGAATTCAGCACGATAGTTTCCAGGGGGCATTCACATGGTGGTCAACTTGACAGGGTATATTGCTAGCAATGAGACTAGCAGTTCAAATTACTAGCAATCCCCCTCCCCTCCAGGACGTCATATTAGGCAGAGGAACCACAAAAATCCAGATGGATTGAAATAGCACAAAAAAATTAGATGTCGAACGTAGCTTCGGTCCTGACCGTAGTGTCGGCCAAGTTTTTACCAAAACCAAAACTCCAAATCAAAATCCAATAATCACTACAGGCGATATACCTCTTTTTCATTACTATTACATCAGCCTTTAACTGTCCACTGGTGAACATAAGCTTCGCCCACGAAGGGAGGTTTTGCCAAACTTAGCGGGCGGGTTGGCAACCGCAGTTAGGTTTTAGCGGTGTTTAAAAGAGACGCTTCTGACCATTTAGGTTCAAGCGTGTGAAGATGAACTCTTTATTGATAGCGAGCGGTGCGATGATAAAAGGTGCCTCCCACCAAATTGTTTATAATTACTCCTCTCCATCCAAAGGTTGCCTGGAAGAGATCGCTCTTAGCGATAAGGTCGCCCATTGTTTTCTCATTGTGATTATTTCTTGTAATTATTTATATTTATAATAAGTTTACTATTGTAATCTTTTGGAGGAAATATTAAAGAGTATCTATCTATCTATCTATAATCTACTAAAGGTATCATTACAAACAATTCCTCAGAGCATAATCCATTAGATAAGCCTCATAGCCCGTCTTTGAACCGAGTCAAAAGCACAAAGCTGGCATCCAGGAGCTCGGACACAGATGCGAGTATCCCATGTGGAGCTAAACTTGCAACTTGTACAATAACAGTCTTTGTCTTGGGGTGAAATACCGTTTCGCTTTATTGAGCACCCCAAGCTTTTTGGACGCCAGCGTGACCCTATCTTCTAGATGACCTCCGAACTCTGCAGAACTTCAGATATCGACACCGTGAATCCCAATACTTTTAGAGATGGTAACGGATGTGTTCCTGAATTGCGGAGCCACAGTAAATGGATTTTTTTATGGATGATAATGGCGGGGCACCAGTAAGAGATGATAAGTGAGAATGAAAAGGCAAGTCAGTTAGCCCATTGTGATGAATACACTTGGAATTCAGTACAATGGTTTCTATGAGGGACCACGTGGAGGTAGATCTGACAGCAATGGGACTGGTAGTCCATATTCCTAGCAAACCTCCCTCCCCCCCCCCCCTTAATTGGTGTTTTTAACGGTGAACGCGCGTTGAATATTCTTTATTTTTATTTTTTTTTATACAACTTAGAATGGCAAACAAGCTGACGGCCCACCTGATGGAAAGTGGTAACCGTCGCCTTTAGACATGAGTAGTACCATGCACATGACAGAGTATACTGTTTCGCCCATGATACCCCCCATGCGTTGCCATTCCTGAGGACTCAGGTGTTATTTCTCTGTACCCAGTAAATTCACGCCGTATCCAACCCTTCAAATCGAAACACAGCCATGCAAACACAACTGCTTCACGGTTGAAACACGAATGGAACAGAGGTACCCAAGCAATAGACTTTTGTACAAAGTCTCCCTCTGGTAAATAAATAAATTAAATTAATTATTATATACCATATTTAACTCAGGTAATTATGTTATTTTATGAAATCAATTATGATATATATTATGCAAATTATAAGCTATAAAGAGTATTAATAATTTAATTCGTGATTAACGTAACATAGTATTTATTTATATTAACAAACGATACTATAATTCAATTTATGATAGGTATGTAATATTACAGTTAATATTATCACTCGATTCGGGTTAACCAGAGGTTAATTATATACCTACTTACCTACTTGTTAAGTTGTAATACATATATGTATCGATACTCAGAATTTATGTTTCGAAATATAGTTCATTTCATGTCTGTATCGTATTGATGTATTTGATGACCTCTATGGCGTAATGGTTGACTTGTTGCACCCAAATAAGGTACCTGGTTCGATTCTCGGTCTAGCCAATTTTGTTTAGTTTTTATTAAATTTTATTTACTTTACTGTAGTTCGAGGTTTTGTCATTTTGAGTTGTAATATAAATTATTAGTTAATCTATCACATACTTTGCTGAATATAAATGTGTAAAATGGTATAATAATAAAAAAATATATTATTATGTTTATATTCTGCCCTACATAAAAAAAATACATTAAGATTTGGTCTACGTCTTTCAGATAATTGTTTAATATTTTATTTTAATAATATTTTATTAAGTATTTTAGAATTATTATTAATATTTTACTTACTATTTTTAATTTTATTCTCATTCAATTCGTGATTAAACAAAAAAATAGTATTAAACTTATATTTTTATAGATAAATAAATAAATAATTTAATAATTTAATGCCGTATCTTGGTGACTGTGTCATATGACAAACAAAGACTGGTCCAACCTATTTTTCAAACCAAAAATAAGAAAGTTCTCAATTTGGTTGTATTATATATATATATATATATATATATATATATATATATATATATATATATATATATATATATATATATATCTTATTTCGTAACTTAGTTATAAAACGATTTGGAAAATTCTTTTTTGATCTGACAAAATATACTTACAAATCGGTCCTATAAATATTTTATGGAAACAGATTCAGTAGTTTCATTTTTAAATCAAAATATCATGTTTTACCATAATTAACTGTTTTTTTTTTGTGCGTAACTCAATCTTAGATTAATAATTTGAGACTTTTCGAGAAACGAAATGAAATTAATTTGAACATGCGGAAGATTATTTTATTTATTTATTTTGGTACATAGGTAACAATGGATGGTAAAACAAGATAAGTCCTCTATGATCAACTTTATCTATCGAGGTATACAAATTCGCAATTATATAACATATCAGAAGTATATAAGATACATATATATGAAAATCAATAATGTCACATTTACAGGAAAAAAAAAACATTTTTGGAAAGTTTATTGGATGGTGCAATAATTTGCTAGCCCGCCTGACGAGACGCGGTAACTGTCACTTGCAGACATGAGCATAACAGAATACACTGTAACACCTATGCTACCTCTCACACATTGCCATTCCTGAGAACTGAGCTGGTATACCTCCATAGTTTGTAATTCCACTGCCATATCCCCTTCAAATCCTGTAATCCTAGCATAAAATGGGCCACTCCTTCCTTTCTCATGGATGTCGTAAGAGGCGATTAAGATATAATGATCGAGGGATGGGCAGCAGCGTTTCTCTTAGAACATCACCAAAGCCTTAATGCGGTTGCCCTTCAAACCACATGAGCAGGATTCTAACTATATTGCAATAAAAAAAAAATCATTTGCACTGAACCAATTGCAGAATTCAATCAATCACACGTGTATAACATTTGTACCCTTCGTTCTTGACCGCATCGTGTGTATGTATACATACATACATACATGTAAAGATGTAACTATCTTTTGATATCATTACTATCAAAACGAGAGCAACCTTCGGCATCGGAGATGAGCCGATCTCTCGCACACACGCGCACGCACACACGTTTGAAATGCGCGTGCGCATATCGAAGATGCATAGAACTGTGTTTGAACTAATCAGTCATAATAGTATATAAGCAAAAGGGACCCTAATCGGTCATCATTCGAGTGTTAGACGATCATCTTAACAGATCGTAGTTTAATATATATTTTGAAGTTATATTTGAAATAATAATAGTAATATTTAAAAAAAATTGTGTCAGTGCTTAAAATAGTGTCATATATAGTAAGGTATAAATTATTTTTCGTCTATTGGGTATAGTCCTTTTTTATACAACTTACAATGGCAAACAGCTGCCTATCTGATGGAAAGTGGTAACAGTCGCCTATAGACATAAGCAGTACCATGGACATAACAGAGTATACTGTTTCGCCCATGATACCTCCCCGTGCGTTGCTATTACTGAGGACTCAGGTGTTATAGCGCTGTACCCTGTAAATTGACTGTCATATCACCCTTCATACCGAAACACAGCCATGCACACACAACTGCTTCACGGTTGAAACACGAATGGGACAGAGGTACCCAAGTAATCGACTTAGTGATACGTGTACAATTAAATAACAATACACAAGTTACAATTAAAGTAACAATACATGTACAATTAAACACGTTACGTTGGCGACTTCGTCTGAAAGGAGAAAAATTGTTGTTTAATTTCATTTAATTTCGACTAGATTTTTTAATTGGGTACCTCTTTCCCATATAAATACAAACACAAGAAATAATCACAGTGAGAAAACAATGGGCGACCTTATCGCTAAGAGCGATCTCTTCCAGGCAACCTTTGAATGGAGAGGAGTAATTATATTCTATATTCTTGCTAATATTCTAAAAGTATTAAAATATAACACCATTTTAAAAATAATTGGCGAGGAATATAACTCGCCTATAATTGAGCATTTCATTCAGATGCTGTTCTAGTCGGCTGGCTCACATCTGAGTGAACTGTTTTAATTAATTTGCTTTTCTTTTTTACTAACATAGTTTGTAAGAAAACTGTTACTAACAAAATGGACCAAATTGTAGTCTGAGTAATAAAGTATTTAATATATTATTATTAATATTATAAATATGCAAGTGAGTTTGTTTGTTACTCTCTTAGCGCTTCAATGGTTTAACTAACCACTGTAATTTTTTCTATACACGTGCTATATTTGGACGGAAATCGACGTAGGCTACTTTTATCCCGATTAGAGAACATATTTCGGTCACGCGGACAAAGTCGCGGGTAGAAACTAAAACAAATATATAAATAAAAAATATAATTAAATTCTTTTTAATTATTGTTACAGCGTTTTATCAAGTATTAAAGAAATAATATCATCATCATGAAGGTAGGTGGTATTTCTATTGAATTAATTTATTTATTTTATTTATTGATATATAAAAGGAATATGTCGGTTTATATTTTTATTTTTATTTTTTTATACCACTTAGGTGGCAAACAAGCATACGACCCATCCGATGGTAAGCGGTTACCGTAGCCAACGTACGTATTTACAGTGGATTTCGGGTATAACGACGATGAAGGGACCACCCTATTTTCGTCGTTATATCCGGAAGTCGTTACAGACAAAGGTAAAGAAATACAGACACGTGCACATGTATAGTTTTTTCTACGCACAAATCAGCATTGTTTTCACCGCTTTTCAATTTTGAAATCATTTCCGCCTTTTCTTTAACAGTGAATGTGCGTCGAGGCAGTGATACTTATCCAAAAGTTTACTAAACTCAGTTACTACTCAGAATATCACTTTGTAACTGAACCATAAATTCAACACCGAAACTCATACAAAATGTACCTTAAAGACTATTCCGATTTTAAATTGGATAATTTAAGATTTAATTCCACAAAATATACAGACTTTTATCGTGAAACCTGTTATTTTGATTTAAAAAGTAAACTACTGAACTAATTTTGATAAAATTTCTATGAGACCAATCAGTAAGTATATCATTTCAGAAAAAAAAAAGAATTTTCCAAATCGGTTTACAACTGACGGAGTTATGAGGGTACAAACGTAAAAAAAATACAACCGAAATGAGAACTTCTTTCATTTTGAAGTCAGTTGATTATTATAAATTTATTTATTTATACTTTATTGTAAACAAAAATTACATTATTATAATATATATATATATATATATATATATATATATATATATATATATATATATATAAAAATAAAGATGTACAACAGGCGAGCTTAACTCTGTAAGAGTTCTCTTCCAGCAAACCCTGAGTGGAAAGGATCAATTAACGAAATAATTTAATTATAAATTTTATTGATGATGGTCCGAATCCATAAAACAGTAATTTTGTAAAACTATTAAATTATTGTTATATTATTAAATTATTTGCGAAACTATTAATGAGTGAAGAAAGGTTCTTGAGTAGCGACCGCATACGGATAAACGCAGTGTAGGACGAACGGCCACTAGATAGAGTGACGACCTGAAATGCATTGGATGCAGGTGGCTCAAGATCGTTCTTTATGGCAGTCTATGGGGGAAGCTTACGTCCAGCAGTGGATGGATAATGGCTGAAATTAACATGAATTAAATTATTATTTTAATTGGTTTAGAAAAGTGACACTTTAGAATCGAGTACAGCGATTGTAATTTATAGTATTTAAAGATACAAGTATGTATTACAGATTTTACTCATCGTAACACTGGCGGTGGCGTCGACAATAGCCGAACCTCCTGTCGATAACAGGCAAGTACCTTCACACGCCACAAATATATATAGTTTAGCAGCTAAATCGATGACAATGGAATGTTATTCTCACCAGCACTATCGGCATACACTGGAGGGACACCAGTGAAAGATTTTTTTTTAATTTACATTTAATTTGGATATTTGTTTTTTAACATGTCAATCCCATAAAATCTAAACAAGTTATCTACTATTATAATTATAACTAAACGATATAACTTACTAATTCACTTAAGCTTTGTGCTTAAGTGAAAGATGATAGGTGAGGATTAATGCAAGTCAGACAATCGGTAAGAATTCGACAAGAATTAACCACGATAGTTTCCAAATTGTATAAGTAAACGTGTGTGTCACCTTGAGCAGGTACTTGCCACCTCAGCAGCGGTTCAACGGAGGATCCTCAGCGCCATCGCAGACTTACGGCCCCCCAAATTCAAATTCTGGATTCGCTGCACAGAGGCAAACTGACGCTGTTTTCGGGTAAAACATCTTTTGAACAATTTATTTTATTTTGATTTAAAAACGAAAACCATTTATTTGCAATACAAAAAAATACAGGTTCAGTCGTTGCAAAATTAATACTAACTCTATTAAAAAAAGATAGAAAGAAATATTTTTTATTTAAGTAAACTTAGATTTAAGAATTTTTGAACAAAAGAATGTTTTATCTTCTTGTTTGTATTGGATAGGCTCAAAAAACCCTTAACCAACTTTAAAAAATCTTTCACCTATGGAAAGATATAATATCAGTGAGTAAAATATGCTGTATTTGAAGTATAATTAAAAAAAATTCTACCTATTAATTCATGCGATGCCAAGGATCGCTAGTAACCAATTATAATGCTTTCAGAAGCCGCCCATCCCAATCTTATGGTGCCCCATCCTCTCGCAACACTGCCCGTCCCTCATCGACGTACGGTGCCCCACAACCATCCAGCCAATATGGTCCCCCATCAGCATCACAGTTTGGATCTCAACCGTCCTCTCAGTATGGTCCTCCTGGATTTGGACAGAGCAGACAAGGAGCAAGAGCACCCAGCAGTCAGTACGGTGCGCCTAGATCCGGTGCTCCTTCACAGCAGTACGGTGCTCCAGGTTTTGGAGGTGTCGGAGGTGAGTGTGTCAAACGTCTTCGTACATCAAAGTGATATACGAAAAACTAATAATAAGACCATAAAATTCCAAATCTTATACCTTGTATCATAGGAAACCACGCAATGGACGTTCTAAGTCCCAACCCAGAATACCCAGTACTAAGCCAATTCAGAAGAGTTCACCTTCTTAATTAGCTCGACCGGAGCTGAACCCGGATTTATGCACAGCAACCTGCCCACTACTGCACCTCCACACCTCTGCATCTTTCGAATCGTCAAAATCACCGTAAATGGAACCAAATCCATTAGCATTAAATTCACCACTTACCTTAACAACCTATTCCCATATTAACCATATCCTATCCGTGCATACATTTTTGATCATTAAATGTTATAATAAGATACCGAAGGATATTTTGGATCTACCTTTTAATAAGTTTAAATCTGTTATTAAAAACACTTAGTAAACAAAGCCTATTGCACACTAAACGATTACTTGAATGACAAACGTGCATGGTGTTAGTGGATCATGCACGGGCTTTTAACGACCATGTAATTTTAGACATAGGACATTTAAATAAATACACATAATGTTAACAGAGATTTAAAAGAGTAACTGTTGAGTTTCTTGCGGGCTCTTCTCAACAGATAATAACCTTGCGAACTACTATAGTAGATTAAAAAAATGACGATTTAAAAGTGCTTGTAAACAAGTCTATTTGGTAATGTTAATCATTTTGAGTCTATCTCCCATATTTCGAAGTGACCCGTCGCCCGTATCTGTCATTTACGCGACAGAACTCCTAAAAAAACAACTGCTTTACCTCGGAGGACGTAAATTTTACACAATGAACTTTCAAAATTGTGTAAATTGCTTAGGTGGTCAATTCTCTGGTGCATCCAATGGCCTAGGAGGTGGACAGAGCCGCGCGTACCTGCCCCCAGGACAAGGTGGCTACAACGGTGACGATGGCTCTAACGGGGTAAGTTATTTAGATTCACAAATAACCTGTTATTGTATGAGCCGTTAACTGTCCACTGCTGAACATAGCCATCCCCATAAGGGGGGTTTTGCCAGTAGTTGCCACGCTTGACAAGCGGGTTGGCAAACGCAGTTTGGCTTTTAATGATGTTTTAAGAGGAACGCTGCTGACCACACCTTCACTACAAGCTCCCTTAGTCGCCTCTTACGACACCCATGGGAAAGAAAGAGGTTGCCTATACTAATGCCGGGACCTACACGGCTAATAACTTAAGTTTCAAAAAATACTAAAAGTTGAACAAAAATTGTATGAGCTCAATATGGAAGAAAAAATGTACCGTATCATAAATCCTACATCATTGTCAAACTCTCATTTATTTATTTGAAGGTTGATTTAATTAGAATAGTTTCAATGCAACAAAGTAAGATCAACGAACACAATTGGCTACAAAATAACATAACACTCTGTCCCATTCGTGTTTCTACCGTGAAGCAGTTGTGTTTGCATGGCTGTGTTTCGGTTTGAAGGGTGGGATATAGCAGTGAATTTACAGGGTACAGAGGAATAACACCTGAGTCCTTAGAAATTGCAACGCATGAGAGGTACTCTGTTATGTCCATGGTACTGCTCATGTCTATAGGCGACGGATACCACTTTCCATCAGGTGGGCCGTGAGCTTGTATGTCATTATAAGTTGCATATAAAAAATAAGCAAAATAGCGTAATCTGATAGATATATTTCTTACTAAAATCATTTTACAAGATGACCAAAAATTAAAAGACCGTTTTGTACAAATACGTACGTATAATGGCTGAGGTGATGATGATGATGATGATACATATTATCCGTACAAAAACAAATAAACAAATTTTCAGGAGCCCGCAAACTACAACTTCGAGTACATGGTGAAAGATGACCAGTCTGGCAACGACTTCGGCCACCGCGAATCGAGACAAGGCGACAGAGCCGAGGGTGTATATTATGTTGTACTTCCAGATGGTAGGAAACAGGTATGTCTCACACTACCATCACCATTGAGTTATTAGCTGTCATCATGACAACTGGTGACAGCTCTGTAGGGCAATGCTTGACTGCGGGCCAGGATCTAATCTCAGCCTTAAACAATTGAATTTACAAATTCATATTTGGATTATTTAATAAATAGTGTCACTGGATTTGTGCTTCAGTACAAAAAGCAGTCATCCAGTAAGCCAGATCAAAGATAATGTTTAACGGAGGCCTAAAAACTCTTGAAAACAATAGGCAATTGAATATGAAAAAACAAAATACCCCCAGATTTTTCAACATTCGCATAAAGCAACCTCAGTTCGTAACAGTCCGATGACCAATACTTACCCACCTTTCTATCCTAACCTGCTTCTTAGAATACGTATCAAATTGCGGAGCTAGGACGCACATTTGCCTCAAACTAGATCTTGCATGAATGCCAATTATTTTTACTCTTTCTATAATCACTATTCTTCCCATTAAAGTGTAAAGGATCATCGTCCTTATCAAATAGCGAGAATGGACCAGAACTCTTTGTAACTCAAAAAATACTCAAACTTGACAAAGTCAATTAAAAAGTTTGTTTTCTAAATCGACCTAATCGGGACTCAAAGTTGAGACCTATTTTCCACAAAATAATTGGCCTGCTTATTGCTGTGCTACGATTGTCAAAATTGAAATGTGTACTTCCTTCACAGACTGTAGAGTACGAGGCTGATCAAGACGGCTACAAACCAAAAATCTCATACGAAGATGTCGGTAACAGTCTTGGTGGTTACGACAGAAACGCCCAGTTCGGTAGCAACCAAGTTGGTTACCAAGGCAACCAAGGCGGTTACCGAGACAACCAAGGTGGTTACCAAGGCAGTCAGGGCGGCTACCAAAATGGTGGACCCTACTAAACACGACTTTGTTTTTGTTGATTCCAATGTTATTTTTTTATAATTTTATTATTAAGTATTGACAGTAGAGAACTTTGGATTGATGTTTGATAAAAAATTTTGGGGGGAAAGAATTTTATATTTATTTGAACATAAATGTATGTGTCTACTATATTTATATTTTAAACTGATCACCATCTAAGTACCTACCTAATTACAGAATGATCTTTTATCAAACACCAATTAATTTTGTCAAATAAAATGTGATATAGGTACGACGACTTACGCAATATCAAAGGATTTTGAGACGTATGAGATCGAGAGTACAAAATGCTTTAGTGTAGTAAAAGAAAAAACAAAATGGCGGAATATATTTCTATTTAAGCAAAAATATATACTTATAAATTTTATTTGGCTTAAAAAATTAAAAAGGCCGGCAGCACACCTGCAATGCCGTAGGTGTTGTGGGTGACCATGGGCGGCGGTAGTCACTTACCATCAGGTGAGCCGCATGCTCGTTTGCCCCGTGTTGTAAAAAAAAAAAATATTATTAATTTATTTTCTAATCTCTAAAATGTACGTAAATAAAACTTTAAATTTATTATAAATGAAATACTTTAGATTCTAATTTTGGCAAATTTATATTATGTAGTATTAGGTACATACATATTTGTTATACCAGCTTTCGATGGCTTTTAGATAAAAGGTCGCCTTTTATGCTTCTCCTTTTTCGGTAAACTTGACCTTTATTGGAAATTGATAAAAAATTAGTTAAACTATTTATTATTATTATTATAATTTATAAAGATTATTCTAGAATGGCGTAATTTAGCAACTTACCATTGATTCTCTATCTAATCATATGGAACAATTGTTTAGGACCATGTAATAGGTACATAAAACAATGAATAATATTTCGTTATTTTGATTTTGTTTACACTAGAACTATGGGTATACAAGGCCAGTTATATGCATATTTCTTTTATTATTCTATTATATATAATTATTTTATATTTTTAACAAGAGTGGAAAGAAATTACCCACCTACTATATAATTTATACAGTTTTTTTATTTACTTCATTTATTTTTAATTTTTTTTTCTTACTTCATTATTCTTCTCTTTCCTTTAGTGTAAGTAGTGAAGCAAATACTCGACAATGTAAATAAAGGATTTTTATTATAAAATGACATAGTAAGTTTTATTTTCCCCAAATCGATAATTGTGTATGAAGGCGTAGATAATTTTAATTGTAATGATAGGTGTAATTATATGAAAACTTTGAGAACCACTGAAATTTGACGGACGACATATTAAACCAATTTCACCTTCTCCCATCGTCATGCGTTGTCATTCCTGAGATTTTTGGTGTCATGCCTCCACACTTTTTTATTTTTTTATTTTTATACATTTTAGAATGGCAAACAAGCTGACGGCCCACCTGATGGAAAGTGGTAACCGTCGCCTATAGACATGAGCAGTACCATGGACATAACAGAGTATACTGTTTCGCCTATGATACCCCCCATGCGTTGTTATTCCTGAGAACTTTGGTGTCATGCCTCCAAACCCTATAAATTCACTGCTATATTGCACCCTTCATACCAAAACACTGTCATGCAAACACAACTATCTCATGGCAGAAACAAGAGTGAGACAGAGGTACTCAAACAAGCAATATAGAATTTAATTAAAGATTTACTTTTTTTTTTTGCATCTTATTACAAGTAGCAAACAAATCTGACAGTAGATGCGTTTACGTTCACATACGCATTATACGGCCGTTGCTGTCTTGTTCTATATCATGCGGTAGCGATAGCATATCTATCGACAGATACATTTGCCACTTGTCGGGAAAACAGACATAAGGAATGAAGATATTATGGAATGAAAACAACAGTGGTATCTCCAAATTTTTATTTCTAAACTTAGGCTAGTCTTAGGCACAAATTATCAACTGAATTCTAAGTACTGTACCATCTAACATGTAAATGCGTGTACGCAGCTCTGAAATCTAACAAAACGTATAATCACAACTGTTTTGAAAAAGTGGTTTTAAAAGGTGAAAACCTACCTTAATAATATAATTAAAAAATATTATATTAAAACAAATATGGGTACATTTGTTTCAAAGAGCAACAGTTGACTTTCCTGCCCATTTTTCTCAGCTAAAATTACATTCCAATAATGGTAACATTGCGGTAGAAACATACAAAAAAAAAATTATATAAAAATACTTATAATTATGTTTACTAACACAAAAAAAATTCTAACTCTTATACTGTGACGTCCATAACATGTGTTGCTATTTTAAATTCACCCTTATATTATATACAATAAAGTTCCAGCACTTATAAATGATCTTAATATATAGTCGTTTACAGTAAATTTTATTTATAACCAGTTATAACTGGTTTACACCTGATAGGGCACGATCCCCACTATAGTGCCGCTCTCAGTCCGTTCTCGGTCCGCTCTCGGTCCACTTTCGGACCGCTTTTGGTCCAATCTCGATCCGCTCTCAATTCATTAAAATACTTCGTAAGAAACAATGTGTGTAATCACATTACAACCCAATCCCGTTCTAATGGGGGGAAAAGGGATTGTTAGTAATGGAGACTAAAAATCCCATTGCTAGCAATATACCTAACCAGGTAGACCTCCTCGCAGTTCCCCCTGGAAACTATCATGGTTAATTCCTGATGAATTCATCATGATGGGCTAACTGGTCTGTTTTCATTCTCATCTATCACCCTTCACTGGTGCTCCGTCAGCGTATCCCGTTAGCACAGGCGGGGTTACCATACCATTTTCACCTATCAAAAAAAAATCCCGTGCTAATCATTCTCAAATAGTTCGTAGTGACCATAACGAGAGCGGACTATTATAATGCACTTGGACAGAACTCAAGCCATCTGTCATCAAATTTCATAAACATCTCCTATCCCAACTGTCAAACTCCAATAATCATTTATCTGTACCACAAAAGATGGCGCTGTACGTATATGAAGTACAGTTTTAATCTCTGTTTCTATGAAAAAAGTGTATATCTCTCTCTCCTGCTGGATTAAAAATTAAAAAAAAAAAACCTATTGATTGCCTTTCTCGAATTTATTAATTTAAATTGACTTAAATCATATATTATCTTACTATATATATATTTTTTATACAACTTATAATGGCAAACAAGCTGACGGCCTACCTGATGGAAAGTGGTAACCGTCGCCTATAGACATGAGCAGTACCATGGACATAACAAAGTATACTGTTTCGCCCTGATACCCCCCATGCGTTGCCATTCCTGAGGACTCACGTGTTATTCCTCTGTACCCAGTAAATTCACGCCATATCCCACCCTTCAAACCGAAACACAGCCATGCAAACACAACTGCTTCACGGTAGAAACACGAATGGGACTATAGTGTGGAACCGGCCTAATTGGCTACACATTTCATTTCTGTATTGTGAACACGCCTTTACAGTTATACACAAGTTATGACGTCAGTTGTATTTACACACGTAAACAAATTATGTAAAACAATTTAACGTTAAAGGAACAATACTTAGGTAAAGTTTACTTGACTAGTAAATTAACAAACTTGGCATTAACACTTACAGAAATATTAACTAGTTTCTTTTTTTCTTAATTGTTTTTTTATATGTTTTAATATAATAACTACAGGAGCGCTCGCGTCAGATCCGCTCATGATTAAGGGTCACGTATTGATCCCGCAACTAGTCGAGATTTTCTCGTAAGTTAAACCGGCAGTTATTGCATTAAAATACAATGTGTGCTTACGAGGTTTTTTTTATATAATTAATAAACTTATGTTTACAGTGAATTTTAAATTGTTACACATTTTCCTTTACACACTGTAGCGTAAATAATTTAGTATATTTTTAAGAAATTACACATTTTTGTTTTTTAATTTTAATTCATAGTACAGGAGCCGACCACTAATAATACAACGAGCTTAAATTTTAGACAGATATTTTTACATTTTATATTTCAAATATATACATACATACTTTTTTAAAATATTATATACAGAAATACATTATTTCTTTGTGCTTTTTTTGAATAAAAATTATACATGTATCTAATACATATTACTTGGGGGAAAGGGATTATTAGTAATGAGAATTTAATTATTATTCATTTAAATTACTAACTGACCCCCCCCCCCCCCATTGCTAGCAATACACCCTATCAGGTCGACCTCCACTCGCTTCCCTCCTGGAAACCATCGTGGTTAATTGTAGTGGTCACGATGGGCTAACTGACCTGCTTTCATCGTCACCTATTCATCCATCACTGGTGCCCCACCGATAGCGCAGGCGGGGTTACCACTCCATTATGACCCATTAAAAAATACATATTACTTACTACGTAGATTATTAGGGTACACTGAAATGCAATTTTCAAAAATTAAAATTCTAAATTGTTGATGCATGTAAAAGTTATGGACTGTAAAGAATTAACTCTTCTTTGCATAATGGTGGAAATTTCCATCATAACATTGAATGCCCAAAAATTTTATAAAAGACCAAGTTCACTTTAAGTTGATCGTGTCTGGGTACCTTTTTAATGTCCATTGCAGAAAAAAAACATAGCTGTCAAATTTATTTTTCAAACCATTTTTCCTTTATTTTGAACATGAATTATATCACCTTGGTTTATTTTACCAATAAAAAAAATCATGCAAAGAATTGCATGTTTTTTTTTTTTTTTTAATGAATGAAAGTGTTAGTTAGAGTTCTTATTTAACCTTACAATAATAATTTCGCTGTACACAATAATTTATTTAGTACCTATATAATTTATTTTAGTATAAACGTCTAAATTGTGATTACATTTCATTTACACTTTATATAAGTTACACTATTATATAATTATAACTAAAAATAAAAAAATAAGACTAACTTAGCCAACTTTGGTTACAAGAAATAAAGTATATTTAGTTCTGAAAAGAATATTGAATAGTATTTAAAAAAAAAAATTAACAGTATTTTATTTATTTAATGTTTTAAATACATATCTTTTTTATTAATTTACAATCTTTTTTTTTTAAACTTCATATGCCTCATCACAATTACAAAACTAAAATTAAAATAAATATGGAGCTCATTTTTGATTAAATTAAAGTGCATTGACTGAGTAAATAAAAATTGTGTAAGCATCTAAGTTTAACACTTGTAGTTGTTAAGTATTTTGATAATAAAGACAGTATTTTGTATACTTTATTTTTGGTCAATAGTAAAAAGTATAATATTATATATATATATATATATATATAATACTGTTTTTAAGAGTACAGTTGGCAACCTTAGTAGTAATAAAAAAAATATGAGATTGTAAATATTCAATAGAAACAATTTGAGATTGCGTTCCATGAAAAAAATTAATTCAATTATGGCAACACCAAGTATTTTGATTTTAAAACTAAACTAGTGAACCATAATCTGTAAGCATATTCTATTAGATAAAAAAAACAATTCTCCAAATTGGTTTACAATTGACGAATTTATGAGGTAACAAACATTAAAAAAAACACAACCGAATTGAAGACACGCTTCTTTTTGAAGTCGGTTAAAAATACAGAGTGTTTTTAACTCAAGTTACATATGTATACACTTAAACTTTATTTAGAATATTCTAAAAATCTCACACAAAATGCAGACTTAGTGCTTTGAGAATTTTGGACCAAATATACATACATTTATATGTGTATATGTATGTTTGTATATATATTATAATGAGTAAGGATATATATTTATATTTACATTACACGTATCACATCTCCATATTAAGAAATAATCGAATTTTCATCGTGCCTCCCACCAAACTTTATAATTACTCCTCTCCATCCAAAGGTTGCGTGGAAGAGATCGCTCTTAGCGATAAGGTCGCCTATTGTTTTCTCACTGTGATATTATTTCTTGTAATTGTTTATATTTATAATAAGTTTACTATTGTAATCTATTGGAGGAAACAATAAGGAGTGTCTACCATATTATTGTATACCACAATAAATCTCTTGGAATTTGTTATTAATAAAAAAATATTTAAATTTAAATATGAACCTCGAAACATCTTTCATTTATATTCTTTCAAAATAAACTATAAAACCAAAGAAATGCAAAAAGTCAGACAAATCGTAAACAACTACAAAAATAGTAAATTTATAAAAATTCCACAAAAAAAAATATATTTAAATGCAAAGATATTAAAAAATATCATAAAACATTTCATGTGGTCAGCTCTCTAACTATTAATAGATAATAATTATATATCATAATATATATATATATAAAATAATTCATTTATTCTATAATTTATATTATACTAGTATTTACCCGCAACTTCGTCCAGGATAATTAAATTCAAATTCTATCTATATTCAAACAGACTTGTTTACAAGCACTTTTAAATCGTAATTTTTTTTAATCTACTATAGTAGTTCGCAAGGTTGTTATCAGTTGAGAAGAGCCCGCAAGAAACTCAACAGTTACTCTTTTAAATCTCTGTTAACATCACGTGTATTTGTTTAAATGTCCTATGTCTAAAATTACACGGTCGTTAAAAGCCAGTGCATGGTCGATTAACACCATGCACGTTTGTCATTCAAGTAATCGTTTAGTGTGTAAGGCTTTGTTGAATAAGTGTTTTTAATAACAGTTTTAAACTTATTAAAAGGCTGATCCAAAATATTCTTCTATATCTTATTATAACATTTAATGCCCATACCCGTAAAAGACTTATTAACTTTTTCTAAACTATACTTCGGAACAGCGAGTTTATATTTGTATTTAGTGTTAAGATTATTGAGATCGCTGTTTTTAAGAAACAGTTGCAGATTCCTGCGTATATACAAAATGTTTGCGTATATGTATTGTGAAGCTACGGCGAGAATATATGCTTCTTTAAATTTCTTTTTATATTATTGATGCCCATTAATTCTTCTCTTTCCGCGTCTAGGGACAATAGATTGAGTTTTGTTTGAGAAATCAGAGATATACCTGAAGGAGGTAAAAGCCCTTAAAATAATGTTAAAAAAAAAAAAAACTTAGAATAGCAAACAAGCTGACGGTCCACCTGACGGAAAGTGGTAAAAGTCGCCTATAGACATTAGCAGTACCATGGACATAACAGAGTATACTGTTTCGCCCATGATACCCCCCATGCGTTGCCATTTCTGAGACAATTTAATTTCTTTAATATTGGTTAATCAAGATAAATAGATAATGTAACTTCTCCATCCCAAACAGAATCCTTTTACCACATTTTATGCCAATTAGTTAAGTTATTAAAATTGTAAAAAAAATAGCAACAGCTGAGTTTCTTGTCTATTCTTCTCAGCTGAAATTGCATTCCGAACTGGGCGGTAGATTCATAAAAAAATGACTATTTAAAAAATGCTTATAATTTAATTTACTTAAATGGAAATTATTTATTATCTATAATATAAGTAAGGATTAAATCCAAAGAACAAGGAATTACATAGAAGGAATGATAAAATAAAAACTATAAATCATACCGTTGACTCCTTTCTTCTTATGCAAATGTAATTAGTAAAAAGAGAACGAAGGATATATACCCATCAGTGGTATTTTTCTCAATTCATAGCAGGCTAGTGTATAGAAAATGTTTGACATGTCAATTATGTGTCAATGACAAATTTTACATTACTAGATTAAATATTCGACATAGTATCGATCATAGCAGGCTAAATGTTATACGGCCGTATAACCCTACCAAATTAAGATACAACCTGCTTGCATACTTTCTACATAAACTGTGTCCAATATATAATCTAGTAATGTTACATTTGTCATTGACAAATAATTGACATATCAAACATTTTCTGTACACTAGCCTGCTATGAATTGAGAAAAATAGCAACTGATGGTGTATCCCTCGTCCTCTTTTTACTAATTATATTTGTACAAGAAGGAAGGAGGCAACCGTATGATTTACAGTTTTTATTTTATCATTCCTTCTATGTAATTCCTTGTTGTTAGAATAAAACTTTATTGAGAAAACAAAGTCCTTTGTTCTAAGTACCTTATAAGGGTAGGAACATAAAATTAGAGAAATTAAAGATATCTTATATATTTACAATATAAATTAGGAAATTAGAAGATTTAAACTGATTTTATATAATAACGAGTTTGGTTTGTGCGCGATTTATTAATAAATTAATTAATTGTATTAAATAAATGTCCTGCAATTAATTAGTTACTAATTTTAAAATTATTGGTCTAAATGTGAAAAATGTGATGATCTTGTAATGATGTCTGTCACTTTAGGATAAATATATATATACATATGCCGTGTGGTCCCGACGTAGAATGTGCCAGCCATGTCTTTCCCATGGGTGTCATGAAAGTCGACTAAGGGACGGTGAGGGATGGGCAGCATATATATATATATATATATATATATATATATATATATATATATATATAATGTAAACTTATGATCATCCTTGATAGTCAAAATAAATGATTTTATTATTATTACTTATTAATTTAGAACCTAATAACCTCGGGTCCTTCTTTCTTCGAACATTTCCACTAAAATGCATTTTTTTTATACAACTTAGAATGGCAAACAAGCTAACGGCCCACCTGATGGAAAGTGATCACCGTCGCCTATAGACACGAGCAGTACCATGGACATAACAGAGTATACTGTTTCACTCATGATACCCCCCATGCGTTGCCATTCCTGAGGACTCAGATTTTATTTCTCTGTACCCAGTAAATTCACGCCATATCCCACCTTTCAAACCGAAACACTAAGCAAATATTTACATATAATATTAATATATTTAATATATTTACATATCCCAAATGCAACATGTAAATGGGGCATAATAATTATCTCTGATTCACACTAAGATGAATGTAAATAACACTTGCATATAGCGAGTCCAATTAAGCGACATCTCGCGGTCATTTTCTGCAGTAACAAAACATGTTCAGATGCGGATGCGTGACACTTATGCAGTCCGGTTCGTTGCCGTATCTGGAATAGAAAAAAAATAAAATAAAATAATTATATAAAATATTTAGCTTTTTAGCGTTAATAAACATTATGACACGGTATGTACAATGGATTGTGCTCAGAGGATTAGTTCAATATGATTTTTTTTTACAACACAGGGGCAAACGAGCATGCGGCTCACCTGATAGTAAGTGACTACCGCCGCCCATAATCACCCACAACGCTAGCAATATTGCAGGTGTGCTGCCGGCCTTTTAAAAAGGAATATACTCTTTTCTTGAAGGTTATGTTGTCGTATCGGTTCGGAAATACTGCTGCTGGAAATTAATTCCATGGGGAGGCCTATGTCCAGCAGTGGACAATTAACGGCTGATATTACGTTGCTTTTCGTATACGAGATCCCAGATTCGATTCCCGGTGAAGTTCCAATTTGTTTAAACAAACATTTTTTTACTTTGCTAGTCTGGGTGTTGTGTATAGTTCTAAATGCTTGCTGCCTGGTTCCTTATACGGGGGTCATTTGAAAAGTTCTTAGCCTAACATACTTAATGAAAGGGATTGTTAGTGACGGAGACTGAGAATCCTATTGCTAGCAATATACACAACCAGGTCGACCTCCTCGCGGTTCCCCCTGGAAACTATCATGGTTAATTCCTGATGAATTCATCATGATGGGCTAACTGGCCTGTTTTCATTCTCATCTATCACCCTTCACTGGTGCTCCGCCAGCGTATCCCGTTAGCGCAGGTGGGGTATGGGGTTACCATACCATATTTACCCATTAAAAAAAACATACTTAATGAAACCACACGATTTTGAGTTTATTTTTATTTTTGAACATACTCTCCTCCGAGCTCAAAACACTTTTCCCATCGACCCGGTAAGGCTACGGATACCCGTTTTAAAAAAATCTTCGTCTAACTCCTCAAAATAAGCGTCCACGGCGGCTATGACCTATTCATTTGTAAAAAAAAATGTTTACCACCTAAAAATTCATAATTCGCAAAAATCACGTGTAAACGAACAATGAGTTACTGTGAATGAACTAAACTGTGCATACTTGTTGCTAAATAATGTAACTACAAAATGAGGGTAGTTGTAAAAAAAAACCAATGACTTTAACCATGTTAGGCTAGGAACTTTTCAAATGACCCTCCTAAAACATGGTATCCTGACTTGAGGACCTGATGATAAGTATAATAAATATAATAAATAAATATATACGGACAAATCACACAGATTGAGCTAGCCCCAAAGTAAGTTCGAGACTTGTGTTATGGGATACTAACTCAACGGTACTATATTTATAATAGATACATATATAGATAAACATCCAAGACCCAGGCCAATCAGGAAAAGATCGTTTTCCATCATAACCTGGCCGGGGATCGAACCCGGGGCCTCCACGTCGCAGGCAGGCGTGTTGACCGCTGCGCCACGGAGGACGACAAATCGTTGTGTTATTGTTATTACTTACGCGTTAGTCCGCGAGATGTCTCGTATGTCTACATCAAATTTATCCTCTTTAATGTGGTACGTGAGAGACGCCTCATACAGCCCATTGCCGGGGGCCACCGCGATCTGAAACCATCACGTTTTAGTTACAAGGTCCAATTTTGATTGAAAGAAAAAAAAAAGGAAAAATATTTATTAAATATTTATACCAGAGGGAGACTTTGTACAGAAGTCGATTGCTTAGGTACCTCTGTCTTATTCGTGTTTCAACCGTGAAGCAGTTGTGTTTGCATGGCTGTGTTTCGGTTGTTATGGCGTGAATTTACTGGGTACAGAGGAATAACACCTGAGTCCTCGGGAATGGCAACGCATGGGGGGTATCATGGGCGAAACAGTATACTCTATTATTTTTATGGTACTGCTCATGTTTATAGGCGACGGTTACCACTTTCCATCAGGTGGACCGTCAGCTTGTTTGCCATTCTAAGTTGTATAAAAAAAATCTAACAATGGCTTCCCCCGGTACCTTGGCCTGGTAGGTGTCGGCGGGCGGCTGCAGGCGCGGCCCGAAGCGGCCCACGTAGCCGTCCGCGTCACGCGCCGCCACGAACGACAGCAGCCGGCTGTTGGCGCGGCGCCGGAATACCCACGATATCGACGACAGCCGCCGCGGAGTACACTGCGACCTGCAAGTAGCACACAGTAAAGAAAGATAACACAGAACGAGGCAGCTACTGTAAACCGTCGAGGAGTTCCCTCAACTGTCCTTGGTCTTCATCATCAGACCTCCAATGACAGTGACAACCCATCTAAGTATAAAGTTCTTATCAATATAAACTAATCAAGCTCAAACACAAGGTGGCTGCTGTGAATCGTTAACGAGTTCCTTTGACTGTCTCTCGGCTCCATCATCATCAGGTCTACTCCAGACCTTTATTAAGTTGTTGTAGATTTAAATTGAAATACTTAAAAACTTATAAACGCACTAGTCGCCCCTACGATTTTCGAATGTTCCCCTCGATCTCTCTGGTCTGCCATCATCGAACCCTGATCTCCTTATCATGGGACCACCTTTGAAATATTTTCATTGCAACAAAAAAAGAATCATCAAAATCGATTCATAAAGGACGATGTTATTCGCGAACAAAGAAAAAAAAAGCATATATATAACAATCTTATCTAATCTCTATCTCCTTAAGTAAGCAATAAATACGCATTCCCCTCACCTGACAGGGTCGGTTAGTTTATTGATGAATGCTACAAGCGCCTCCGCCGTTTTCTGATAGAGGGGGTCGTCCTTGGAAACGTTGGTCCACGCGAGGCAAGCGCACCAATGAGGTTCAATGCCGGCCTCGCTGCAAGACCGATTCTTGGGTATCTGAAGGTGAAATAGAAGTCAATTTAATTCAAATTTCGGACTAACTCTCCGATAAGTCAAATTCATTTTCACAAAGTGTTTCAACCGTAAAGTAGTTGTGTTTGCATGGCTGTGTTTCGGTTTGAAGGGTGGGATATGGCGTGAATTTACTGAGTACGGAGGAATAACACCTGAGTCCTCAGGAATGGCAACGCATGGGGGGTATCATGGGCGAAACAGTATACTCTGTTATGTCCATGGTACTGCTCATGTCTATAGGCGACGGTTACCACTTTCCATCAGGTGGGCCGTCAGCTTGTTTGCCATTCTAAGTTGTATAAAAAAAAACATCTAAGTAATGAGGCTAGACTCGCCTCCTGCTAAGTCAGATTATAACATGCTCGGTGAGGGGAGAATGGGATTGTTAGCAATGGAGTTTGACAGCCCTATTGCTAGTAATATGCCCTATTAGGTCGCCCTCCACGTGGTTCCGCCTGGAAATCATCGTGAACAATTTTTGTTGAATTCGTCACGATGGGCTAACTGACCTGCTTCATCCTCGCCTATCATCCTTCACTGGTGCCCCGCAGAGAATACTGTTTCGCCCATGATGCCCCCCATGCTTTGCCATTCCTAAGGACTCAGGTGTCATTCCTCTGTATCCCGTAAATTCATTACCATATCCCACCCTTCAAACCGAAACACAGCCATGCAAACACAACTGCTTCACAGTAGAAACATGAATGGAACAGAGATGCCCAATCAAACGATAAGCAATCCTTCCTCTTTATAATAGTATAGCCAATTCACTCACCGGTTCCAAAAGTGTCATTCCCCTATGCAAATCAGCGCCGGTGATTTTATAATCATTCCAATACTTTGTCAGGCCCATAACGTCCAGAATTGTGGCGTGGACATCGTGAGGGGTTGTTAGTACATCAGCATTCGCTTGCAGCGCCACCTGTGCGGCCGGCCGGCGGACTTTGAGCTCGTCCGGCAGAACTATGGCCATTAGGGGCAAGCGCTCCTCAAGTTTACCCTGGAGTGTGTTCCGGACGTTCGCGTATCTGAGGAGAGATGCTGTAATTTAACATAATATTTTACCATATCACAACAACCCATCAATATCCCAATATATATATATATATATATATATATATATATATATATATATTCTTTATTGTACTTGTAAATTACATTGTTAATGCATTTATAAATATTGTGAGCAAGTGTGGACTTATCTCTGACAGAGATCTCTTCCAGTCAACCCAATGCAGTTAGACAGCATGTCGTTAGCGGGCAGCTGAAGTGCTACAACTATTAATATTTAGAGTACATAAACAAATATACAGTTAAATAAAATATTTAGTGAATGGAATTATCGTGTGATTTGTTGGTTATATCCTAACTTGAAACTTAGGATACTTTACATATTGATTTAAACGTGCGAGGCCGTATAATACAGCTAGTCAACTATAAAAAAAAAGATTGCGAAATACCTAGGCCCGTGATCGCCCATGACGACGAGCAGCGTATCCTTCAGCCGGCCCTCGTCGCGGAATACCCTCATGAAGTCCACAAAATCCTGGTCAGCCGTCTCTATCATGTTGAAGTCGTCGTGCGTGATGTCTGCTATGAACGTGAAGCAGAACCTCTTGCCGTCCAGGCGGAGGAACTGGAGATGTAAACGAAGAGTACAAATAATCATCCGTCATACTCGTGAACGGGTGCTGTCAAAAGAGGATGATTTTTTTATTACAGCACGAGATATGATCACACCATTCTGAGCGAACAAAGAGACGACATGGTCTATGAATACGACCAACCGAAATGAGTATGTTCCACTTACGACGGTTGGCCGCACTATGCCGGCTCACTAAGTGCTTGTCACGCTGCGTTTGAAGGATCCCAGGTTATGGGAACGCGTCTTGGAAAAAGCCATTTCACATTGTTACGGTACGGTTCACGCAAGAGTTGGCAAACTTATTTGTACGCGAGTGCGGACGGTCTACCGTGTATGGATGCAGTCGCTGACCCATCCTGATGATGCAATATCGGAAGGAGAAGGTGGAATAAAGGTTTATCCTAGCAATATATGTAAATTATCGTGGTTAATTCCTATTGAATGCTCCAGAATAGGTCTAATGGCCTGATGTCATCATTTTATCATCCCCATTGGTACCCCGCCAAAGAGCCGCCAATTTTTTTTTATACAACTTAGAATGGCAAACAAGCTGACTGCCCACCTGATTGAAAGTGGTAACCGTCGCCTATAGACATGAGCAGTACCATGGACATAACAGAGTGTACTGTTTCGCCCATGATACCTCCCATGCATTGCCATTCCTAGGGACTCAGATGTTATTACTCTGTACCCTGTAAATTCACGCCATATCCCACCCTTCAAACCGAAAGTATGTTTTAAAGTATGAATACATTCTTAGAATTACACATTAACTCTTCGCTGCTGAATATAAACCTCTCCCTTTGGTTTGGCCAGTAGTAGGTTGGCAACCGCAGTTAGGCTTTGGTAATGTTTTAAGAGGGACGCTGCTGTCGATCCTTCGACCATTAAGTTATAGTCGCCTCATACGACACCCACGAGACAGGAAAGAGTGGCCAATTCTATGCCGGGACCGACACGGCTAATTTATTTAGATTTACATACAATTAACGATTTCGATTTAACCCTTTTATAACTGAACTATGTTTCATGTCCAACAAAGTTACCTGATCGGTGATATTCATCATGAGCTTGTACTGCGGCGTGTCGCCCACGCAGTACCGGTCGCTTCTCCCCTTGCCCCACTTCTTGCCGCTGGCCGACTCCTCGAGGAAGAACGAGCGCAGGTAGTGGTCGGCGGGCTGCCTCCGAAACCCGTTGAACCGGTACTGGAACGTGCCTATCCAGGGCATGTCTTCGAAGTACGCGGTACGGTAGCTAGAATAAAAAAAATGGAGACTCATTCAATTAGAATGAATAAATGATCGTTAGCGTGAGTCATCATATCATATAAGCTTTTAACTGTCCACTGCTGAAGACAAGCCACCCCCTACAGGGGTTTGCCAATAGTTGCCACGCTTGGCAAGCGGATTGGTAACTGCAGTTAGGTTTTTAGTGATGTTTTAAGAAGGATGCTGCTGCCCATCCCTCGTCCTCCCTTAGTCGCCTCTTACGACACCCACAGAAAAGGTAGAGGCGACCCTTTCTATGCCGGAACAGACACGGCCAACGGAATCACCATTTTACGACGTAATAAAAAAAACACGATTGCAAAATAAAAACTTACCCGTCTTCTTTCAACTTGTAGAATATAAAAGGCATGGAGTCCAGCGTGCCGTTGTTCTTGGACTTCTTCCTCACGTCAGGTAACTCCAGCTCGTTCTTGCCCGTCAGTATGGGGAAGAGCGCCGCCGGTGTACCATCGCCCACTATGTTATACCTGAAACGAAGATGACATTTGATTTTATTAGTATATATATATACATTAGTGCATTACTGCAGCAGCCAGCAACTGAAACATTGATGGACGAACGTACAAATGTGGACCGAGGCGTAGACGAGGTACACATACGTGAGTCCATCAATGCCTAGTTGTGGCCAAGGCTTGTATAGTACTTTTCTCAAACAATGCGCGGAAATCAAAAACACAATTTTACTTTTTAAGTTCAATGACGAATAACGAACAATAATAATTTTTCACGCACCATAATGTTCCTTTGTTTATTTTTTTTAATAAACAACTTTCTATTTGCAAGCCAGTTCGAAATTTAAATAAAATCTTTTATTAGTTACCTCCTTGGTAGCCATGTTTCGAAGTAAAAGGTCATTCCATTTTTAAATTACAGGACAGGTATGAGTTTACATAGTAATTTATTTGGCCGCAAAACACGACAGATATGGATTTTCATACAACTGTTGCCGGCCGCTGCCCGCATGTATCGGACCAGTACGGCAATTTTGATTTATATCTAAGAAGATTATCACAATATATATATATATATATATATATATATATATATATATATATATATATATATATATACTATGTTTCTTGCAAATGAATATTAATTTATTCTAGTAGTTTTAGAGACCAAAGGAGGTTGGTAATGATTTACACTGACAGGGTATCTTAAGAATGATAAGTGAGGATGGAATCTTTTTTTTTTTTAATACCAGTGAGGGATGATAGGTGAGAATGAAGTCAGCTTAGATATTGTGACGACAAGCAAACAATAAAATCTTACCTTTATCAACCGACTTCAAAAAGAAAAAGTCTTTCAATTCCATGTTTTTTTTTTTTAATATTTATTATTGCACTCGTTAATCATATAGATAATGTATTTATAAATATTGTGAGCAAGGGTGGACTTATCTCTGACAGAGATCTCTTCCAGACAACCCAATGCAGTTCGAAAGGATTTCGCGAACGGGCAGCTAAAGCTAAAACTCTTTTGTACTTTTTTTAATTATATAAATCACTTACGAGTTATATATTCAATCTTTATATAACATTAGTATGGACTGCAATGCGCATTAAAACTTACCAGAGGAAGACTGTACAAAAGTCGATTGCTTGGGTACCTCTGTCTCATTCGTGTTTCAACTGTGAAGCAGTTGTGTTTGCATAGCTGTGTTTCGGTTTGAAGGGTGGGATATGGCGTCAATTTACTGGGTACAGAGGAATAACACCTGAGTCCTCAGGAATGGAAACGCATGGGGGGTATCATGGGCGAAACAGTATACTCTGTTATGTCCATAGTACTGCTCATGTGTATAGGCGACGGTTACCACTTTCCATCAGGTGGGCCGTCAGCTTGTTTGCCATTCTAAATTGTATAAAAAAAAATTAAAACTTACCCATTGAGCACTGTAGCCTGCAGCTCATCGGTCAGAAACTTATAGCTTTGCGGCATGCGTCGTATGAAGCCGTTCCTGGCCGTCGAGTCGAACCCAAATATGAGCACGTTGAGCGACTCCTCGCGGCCCTCCGGCGGTGGTTTTGGCTTCACCGTCGCACGGAAGCCCAAGCAGTGTCCCGTCCATTTCGATGGTAAAATACTGCAGATGATAGAATAACATAATAAAAATATAATAATGTTTTTTTTTTTACAACACAGGGGGCAAACGAACATGCGGCTCACCTGATGGTAAGTGACTACCGCCGCCCATGGTCACCCACAACACCTACGGCATTGCAGGTGTGCTGCCGGCCTTTTAAAAAGGAATATGCTCTTTTCTTGAAGGTTATGTTGTCGTATCGGTTCGGAAATACTGCTGCTGGAAGTTGATACCAAAGAGTGGTTGTGCGTGGGAGAAAGTGCCTTGAAAAACGCACGGTGGAGGACCGACGTTTATTCAAATACACTTGTTTACAAGATGTTTTAAATCGTCAATTATTTATGTTCGTACTGTCGAGTTCGGGATGTTATCTGCTGAGAAGAACCCGCGAGAAACTCAACAGTTACTCTTTTCAAATTATTATCATAATTTCAGCCATTATCCGTCCACTGCTGGACATAGGCCTCCCCTATAAACTGCCATAAAGAAAGGTCCTGAGCCACCTGCATCTGACTGACTCCCTACAATGCATCTGAAGTATATATATATATATATATATATATATATATATATATATATATATATATATATATATATATATATATATTAGAAAGGTGCAATGGATATCACAACAAATAATGCGATAACCCTGATGCTAGGTGGTCATGTCTATAGATTACCATTACATGACGGTTACCGTCTTCCATCAGGCGGACCGTCAGCTTGTTTGCCATTCTAATTATCATTAAAAAATATATATAACATTAGATACAACTTATAAATACTGTACCTGTTAATATGTTTACCGGTGCATTTAACTTTCACATGGTCACTGTTGGTGAGTACATACACGTCCGCGCCATACACATCCACACTGTTGCCGAGTTCGTATTTGTAATCACTTTGGTACAAAATATCTCTGTATGAACACACTATATCTTTTGTTGTGTCTAGTATCTCCTTGATTACTCTGCATTCGGACAGCTGTGGACAAGAAACAAACATTACTAGCTACAGCGCCACAGTGCCAACTCCTTCCGTTAGACCGCATTCAAGTCGGGCGGCTCGAATTGTTGACGATCGGCGCCTTACTGTCCGGCTCGACCCACTGAAACTGCGTAGAGATGTTGCATCTCTGTGCATCTTCTATCGAAATAATCATGGGGGTGCTCTGAGGAATTGTTCGGATTGATACCTGCTGCTGATTTTCACCATCGTACTACCCGCCTTAAACTAAAATTTCATCCCAACCATCTGGACGAGTGGCGGTCCTCCACCGTGCGTTTTTCAAGGCACTTTCTTCCACGCGAGCCGCATGCTCGTTTGCCGCCTGTGTTGTAAAAAAAAAGCTCGCGGCTTCGCCCGTTGTCATATCATGATATTGAATAGCCCGGCAATTTCTAATGTTCCTATCCGGAACCTAAGAGTTCTGTAGAAGTCACTAAAGCTCTGTAAAATTTATTTTTCGCTGTTAAATAATACCACAGTTAGGTAGCTAGTCAGTCAGTTATTGTCATCGCCGACACCCGTCAGATGGTGAGGGCGGGTTAAGTAAGGGCCTTGGGGCGAACCCCATTACCCCGGCACCTTCTCCGGAGGCTACTGCCTCCGGGTCGCTGGGTTTTAAGCCGACATACACTGGTGGTATATGTATGTACACATATTTGTACTAATGAATAAATAAAATAAAATAAATTACTCAAATTAAGTGTTTATCTATCTATCGATAATAGAAATACGACAATCTGCCATATCGACCTATTTTTCCTGAAAAAATAGTATTTTTCCTGAATACTTAATAGGTACTTAAATACACGAGTACTCAATACACAGAATTCGAATACGAGGTATTTGATAAACATATCATACATTTTTATCTCTCTGTTTCATCATTTTATGAACGTTTTCCTTAATTGTCCAAAGATAAAATATTGGATTATTAATTAAAAGTTACTCGAATCTAATAAAATTTTCGAATAGTCATAGAAATGCTGGATTTCTATTCGTCCAAATCCTCAAAACCGAGTCGAGTTTCGATTCTGTTTTAATATTTAAATAAATAAATCTTAAGTTTAATATTTTATTCCGAAACAAAACACTATAAAATATCTATAGGATCAATTTAGAAATATATCCTATCACATAGAAAAAAGAAATTTTCAAGTCGGTTTATAATTTACAACTGACGGAGTTATAGGGTAATAAAAATTAAAAAAAAAACAACGGAATCGACAAATCCTTTTAAGTCGATTAAAAAAGAACACAGCTACCGTTAAAGAATTCTAACAATTTCAGCTACACCCTGTGTATATAGAATCTGCTACTTACATAGCACTTGACCCAGTCCTGCCCCGAGCACGTGACCTTCGGCAATTGCTTGTCAAACTGGGTCACCTCCTTCGCGAAGGGGTCCAACCGTGGGATCTCGCAGCCTGTGCCCTTGTCCAATTTCAATTCTTCTTGTAATCTATTTTCAATGAATCTGTAAATAGCCGTAGTATTATTTAAAAAAAAATAACGAAAAATTTATTAATATATAATAGATGAGTTCTTTTTTTTTATTATTAGGAAGACAAACGACAAAAGACAAACGGTCCACCTGACGGGAAGGGTCTACCGTTGCCCACGAACGCCTGTAACACTAGAGGAGTTGCTTGTGCGTTGCCAACTTTAGCCAGTATTAATGGTAAGATGGAATTTAGCCTACGCCAGAGCTGGTCGACTTGACTAGACCCAAGATCCACTGTTTATTGACGAAACCCTGTGCCATCTACCAATCGCATACTTCTTGAAATCACAAATGAAACGACATAGTTCAGTACACAATTATGTAGTATTGTAGTATTTTTTATTTTATTACGAGGGGAAACATAAAACTGAGAATTATTCTTAGTAACAACTTATTTATATTAGCGTGAGCATTGCGTCCGAGCATTTTCCGCTCGATTAGCAAAATATTATATTTTTTTGCGTAGCCACGATCGACTGGACTAATAGTCGCGATCGACCGGTTGGCCATTCCTGGTGTACGCCAAACATATTACATTATATATTTATATATATATATATATATATATATATATATATATATATATATATATATATATATATATATATATATATATATATATATATATATATATATATATATATATATATATATATATATTTAATTCATTGCTAATTACAGGTAATGATATGATGCATGTTTATTACTCCTTTACGCAAAAACTACTAAACAGATTTAAATAAAATTTGGTACACGTATAGATTATATCCCAACTTAGCATATAGGATACTTTGGGTAATGGATTCAGGCGGGCAAAGCCGCGAAACACAGCTAGTTAGATATACGTATCTATTTGTGTACACATATACACAGGTAACTCTTTATTAATATATTTCTGTATTGTCGTATTATTTAATACTTAGCTGGATATTTAGAGTTTACCTAATATTGTTATTTTGTTAAGCATTTTTTTGCGAGTGACGAAAAAGTAAAAAAAAAACCCTTAAAATAAAACTAAAAATAATACTTCATCCCATCTATTTGAAAAAATGATAAATTCCACATTAAACACTAGCAAAATAGATGATTTTTTTTTTTATTTTAAATTTCTAAAGTATACAATGTTTTTATTGTAAAACAAACCGGATTGACTGACGTGTATTTTTTTTTGTTTTTTGTTTGCTTTTCGGAAGATTGTATTTTTTTTAATGGACATACCCGAAAATACTTAACCTGCTTTAAAAATGCCACAGAAAGTTACATTTTTAAATTAGGTTAAGTGTTTTCGATTATCATCACCCACAGAAAGTTATTAACAAAAAGCTACATTATCAGCAAGTAAATAGAACTGTATTTTAATAAAAAAAAAGATTGTCTGGAAGAAATTGCTTTATATACATATATATATATATGTATATGTATATATATGTATATATATATATGTATATATATATATATATATATATATATATATATATATATATATATATATATATATATATATATATATATATATATATATATATATATTGTATTCTTTTTTAAGTGATGCAGTAGAGTCAACAAAACTAGAAATCCCTACACAACATACCCATGCGAAGCGATTAGTTTGTAATAGATAAATCATTTATTTCCATCTCTAGTACACACATAGGAGCTAAAAAAAAAATAAAAAAAAAACAAAATTGAAAATACTCGATTAGCCCGAGGACCATCTGGGACCCTTACACTAATAATAAACACGCCATTCAATCCGATTTTTCTTACAGTTAAAATATAAAAAAGGTATTTAAAAAAAAATTAATATACTTTATTATTGCTTTGACTGTAATTAACAAGAGTTACTTTTAAAAGTGACATTAAAAGTTTTCTTTCATATAAAAGGGATGAAAGCAGAGAGCACCACAAGGTCGCAAATTTTTTTGAATTAATTTGTTTCACTCTTACTCCACTTTACATCAAAACAGCTAATTGCTATAAAAAAAAATTGCTCCCTTGCGATACAATCTATAATTTTATACTAAAAGAAAAAAGCAATAAAAGAAAAACTACTTACTGAATAATGGATTCTCTGAAAAGCGAAATAAAATACATTCCATTAAATATTCATACAAGAAATACTAAATCTAAGATCATGCAAAGCGTTAAAATTATAAACGCATGCTAACAAACATGCAGGATAACGTTATAACAATATGCAAGTTTTTTTTAATGGGTCATAATGGTATGGTAACCCCGCCCGCGCTATCGGTATACGCTGACGGGGCACCAGTAACACATGATAGGTGACGATGAAAGCAGGTCAGTTAGCTCATCGTGACGAATTCCACTTGAATTAACCACGATGGTTTCCAGGGAGAACCGCTTGGAGGTCAATCTGATAGGGTGTATTTTAGCAATGGGTCAGTTAGACCCCATTACTAACAATACCTCCCCCCCACCCTATATACTACTACTGCATTTTTTTTATACAACTTAGAATGGCAAACCAGCTGACGACACACCTAATGAAAAGTGGTAACCGTCGCCTATAGACATGAACAGTACCATGGACATAACAGAGTATACTGTTTCGCCCATCATACCCCCCATGCGTTGCCATTCCTGAGGACTCAGGTGTTATTCCTCTGTACCCTGTAAATTCACGCCATATCCCACCATTCAAACCGAAACACAGCCATGCAAACACAACTGCTTTACAGTTGAAACACGAATGGGACAGAGGTACCCAAGCAAACGACTTTTGGACACAGTCTCCCTCTGGTATATTAATATATCTATATCAGATATTTTACTGAATCAAGAGTTAATTTGTGGAAGGCCATATCACTTAGTTATTACACATTAGTTTTATAAATCTATTTTTCTATTCCGCTAGCGTCAATTGCCTACGATTGTTATCATAATGGTAGCGGAATTAAACAAGATAATTCAAATCGGCTAACCATCTATATCTATACTGAACGTTAAGACTGTAGCGCAGCTGATAAGAGCACTAGCTCAGCATTGAAGGTACGGGTTCAAACCCCGGCCTCGGGGGGAAGGCTTTTTTTAATGGATGACAATGGAATGTTAACCCCGCCCGCGCTAATATACTTATATACGCTGGCGGAGCACCAGTGAGGGATGATAGGTGAGGATGAAAAGGCAGGTCAGTTAGCCCATTGTGATCTAAGAATCCCATTGCTAGCAATATACCCAAACAGGTCGACCTCCTCGCGGTTCTCCCTGGAAACTATCATGGTTAATTCCTGATGAATTCATCATGATGGGCTAACTGACCTGTTTTCATTCTCATCGATCACTCTTCACTGGTGCTCCGCCAGCGTATCCCGTTAACGCAGGCGGGGTTACCATACCATTACCATTCACCCATATAAAAAAAAGCCCATCGTGATGAATAAATACCCTTGGAATTCAGCAAAGAATTGAAGAAAAAAAAATTTATTATGCATTCTGATTTTGTTTTTGGTTTTATTTTTTTTTTTAATCTTTTGTACATGTATCTTTTTTATCTTTTTTCACATTGCTTTTGTGTCTTTTGTTTGTGTGCTGTAAGTTGTGCAAATAAATTATCTATCTATCTATAACATTTGTTAATATTTATCATTTAAGAACTCATTTACACATTAAAAACATTTATCTGGAAAATAGCTTGAAGAGTGTTTTTTTTTAAATGTTTTCCTTGTTTTTTCAAACTAAAGTGTAAAGTGCCAATATTTGGAGGTATGCCAAAGATTGGGTGCTTTACCTTAAAAACCTACCTTTGGTTTACAAAGCGTTCATGACCAAAAAAATACTCTTCTTTGTATTTAGATTTTTATCACAATTTTAGTTTAATTCCAAAAATTTCTACCACAACAGAATTCCTGGTCAGCATAGTGCTAATAGTACTACTATCAGTACACTAAAATTCATATTGATTGATCGAGCCGTTAAAGAGACAAGAGGTTACACTTATTGTTAATTAAAGAAAAAATTACAGATAGTATTTTGGCAAGGGTTTAGTGCTGGAAACAGTTACTGTTAATATAGCTCTTAGGACAAAGCAAGCAGGTTAATAGTAGAGTGAACGATCTATATAAGCAACTTCTCTATAAACAACATTCTGTATATTTTATTTATTCTACACAACTTAGTAAAAGAAATAAGTAAAAATATTTTATTATGGAAATGTCGGTAGGGGCCGCCCTAGACGGACGTATGTCGACCAAATAGGCGACGTGCTGAAGAAGGGCCAAATTAAAAGTGACCGTAACCGGCGAGCGTGTATGAAAAGATTGATGAATGTGGAAGAAGCGAAAGAGGTTTGTTTGAATCGAAGCATTTGACGTTCCGTTGTTTCTGCCTACCCTAATGGGAGACAGGCGTGACAGATATGTATGTATGTATGTAAAAATATTTTCCAGACGGTAAGTAGTTTTATACTCCTTTTGTCCCTGTAAGCAACTTTTCCCAATAGGATTTTTTTTTATTGAAACTGTTTCAAATGAACTCAATTGAACCAGTACGCTTATATAGAGCGTTCACTGTAATACGTTACGTTAGTGAAATCAGTAAAATGTGTATTTAGTTAAATTATTCGGGTTATTCATGAGATGTTTAAGAAAATTTTTAAACATTCGTGTATGCATTGTTTATGATTTGTAAGAGACGAGAATTAACGCTATTACTTAGGTAACTTTTTAAATAGACAAGACATTATAGATTGCTTTTAATTTTTTTTTTATGCAACTTAGAATGGCAACCAAGCTGATGGCCCACCTGATGGAAAGTGGTAACCGTCGCCTATAGACATGAGCAGTACCATGGACATAACAGAGTATACTGTTTCGCCCATGATACTCCCTACGCGTTGCCATTCCTGAGGACTCAGGTGTTATTCCTCTGTACCCTGTAAGTTTACTATTAATATATGTATTAATTAGTTTGAGGTTATGAAGACCATTACCTGTCCAGTGCGGCCGGTTCGACAATGTTAGTGATGTGTTCTCCAACGACTCTAAGGTTTACAATATTGCTCCCAAGCATTGCAGTGCTAGACAGAGTTATGAAAAAAATAAATGCAAACAATAACATGCAAAATCAAAAACCGAAATTAATAAATGAGTAAATTATAATGCATTAATACTATGTGCGTATTAGCATAGTCCAATATATTACAGATGGCGCAAATAGAATAAAGAGAACTATTTATTGGTGAATTTACTGGGTAAAGAGGAATAACATCCGAGTCCTCAGGAATGGCAACGCAAGGGTATCATGGGCGAAACAGTATACTCTGTTATGTCCATAGTACTGCTCATGTCTATAGGCGACGGTTACCACTTTCCATCAGGTGGGTCGTCAGCTTGTTTGCCATTCTATGTTGTATAAAAAAAAATATATTCGAAAATAGATATTCGACCGATATTAAAATGGGTGATGACTGATTGACTGATGATCAAAGTCCAGAGAAACCCAATATATAGATATCGGATCAGTATCCATCCATGCCTACATGACAGAGTGTACTGTAACGCCCATGACACCCCACATGCGTTGCCATTCCTGAGGACACAGGTGTTATTTCTCTGTACCCTGTAATTTCACTGCCATATCCCCACCATTCAAACCGAAACACAGCCATGCAAACACAACTGCTTCACGGCAGAAACACGAATGGGACAGAGGTACCCAAGCAGACGACTTTTGTACCAAATCTACCTCTAGTAAAAACTCAAAAAAAATGTCACTTGCATTATGCTACAACGCACAATGTATAATGCTTCATTTTTTCAATTAGGTATAACATTAATTACCCATACATTAATTCCTGCCATTTGAAATAAAAGAAAAACCATAACATTAGTATATAAGGCAATATTTCCTTGTCCACCACCTAACAAGAACAATACAATCATGCTTTAGCAATACTTAAATTGCTAGATTTGACGACTGAAATGAATATTAGAAAAGCTGGATTTAAAAATATCAACAAAAACTAATAGATACAAGTGTTTTGTCTCTTTCTAACAAATTTTTTAAGTTGAATGAACGTTAAAATTTTCTGTAAGTACACAATGTGTTTTAATGTAATAACTAGCTATTACTAGTTTCATGACTATTTGGGACCCTTAATCGTGAGCGTCCCGTGTGGTCCCGAAACCAGTCAAGTTTTCTCGATCTAATTACACATAAGTTTAAACCTTAATTATTAGAGAGAACGGGATTGTTAGTAATGGAGTCTAAGGAACCTATTGCTAGCAATATATCAGGTCGACCTCCACGTGGTTGCCCCTGGAAACCATCATGGACAATTCTTGTTGAATTCGTCACAATGGGCAAACTGACCTACTTCATCCTCACCTATCATCCTTCACTGGTGCCCCGCCGGTGTATACCGATAGCGCGGGTGGGGTTACCATTCCATTATCACCCATTAAAAAAAAACCTTAATTATTACATTAAAATTGAATAGACGTGACAAAATACAATTTTTTATATCAATTCCAATAAATTTAAATCCAATTTGTCTTCTATTCAACAAAAAACAAGCATTTTCTTATTATTAATCCACTGATGCATGCGTGTTTATGTTTAGTAAACTAATAAAGAAAGAAAGGACACAATAACTAAATCGGTTCCCAAAGTCATAACTTCCGCCTTCCTCTAACGCAAGATTTTTTTTTTATACAACTTAGAATGGCAAACAAGCTGACGGCCCACCTGATGGAAAGTGGTAACCGTCGCCTATAGACATGAGCAGTACCATGGACATAACAGAGTATACTGTTTCGCCCATGATACTCCCCATGCGTTGCCATTCAGGTACTAGATATTTATAGAAGTAAAAAGGCAACCTTAAAGTAAAATTTAAAATTGAAATTGCTGGTGAAAAACCATTTTTTTTTTAATTCCAAATAATAAAATATTTAAATTTATAAAAATTTATTTCCTTCTAGAAGTAGTAACCCTCTATAGACGTAAACAGTACTATGGACGTCACAGAGTATACTGTGTCGCCTATAATACCCTTCATGTGTTGCCATTCTTGACGATTAAGATGTTGTGCCTCTGTACCCTGTAAATTCATTGCCATATCCTACCCTTCAATATGAAACACAACGTTGCATAGTTGTGTTTCATATTGGAAGAAAACAACTGTTTCATGGCAAAAACACGTATGATAGGAAATTAAGGAAATCTTAAAAACCTTAGTTACCTTACACTATCTACATAGATTAATTTAATTTGTAATATATTTGTAAGTTACTGCTAACGCTGGATTAATAACTACAATTTTTTACTTATTTACCATTCTAAAATTTTATGTATTGTTAACCCTTCTTTGCATGATTTTTTTTATTGGTAAAATAAATCAAGGTGATATAGTTCATGTTCAAAATTAAAGGAAAAATGGTTACAAAAATAAATTTGACAGCTATGGTTTTTTTTCTACAATGGACATTAAAAATGTATCCAGACACGATCAACTTAAATAAGTTCTTTTTATAATTTTATAACATTCAATGTTATGATGGAAATTTTCAGCATTATGCAAAGAAGGGTTAAATAATGCATGCACTTAATTTATATTTATTTCATACTAGCTGACCCGGCAGACTTCGTACTGCCTCAATCGATAAATAAAAGATCTGAGCTTTTGTAAACAATAAACTTAAACAAAAGAAATTCATAAATAATAAAAAAAAATACATAAAAATAATCTGAAAGACAGTTAACAACTTTCATATTTATTCACCTTTTAAACCTTCTCTGGATTTCCACAAATAATTCGAGACCCAAATTTAACCAAATTGGTGCAGCCGTTCTCGAGTTTTAGCGAGACTAACGAACAGAAATTCATTTACATATATATATATATATATATATATATATATATATATATATATATATATTTTATTTGTGTTTTTTTATTTTTCTATCTTTTATCTCTTTTGCTATGTATTATGTGTATGTTTTTTATTGTAATTTGTGTGCTGTAAATAATGTAAATAAATTATCTATCTATCATATATATATATATATATATATATATATATATATATATAAGACATTTGTACGCTTATATAGCAGGACATGGCTACTACTATTTAACTAATATAATACCTTAATTTGACCTGATCCACAATGAAGACATTTAATTTTGTATTTATAAATGTATGTACCACTATTTCACTATAATCTAGATGTTATAGGTACCGATTGTTGAGGTGATAAAAGTAAATTCCGTTGGTAAATTTAGGTAAGGTGTAACTTCCTTTGTATGAAGCTCAAAGGAGTGAAAATTCCTTTAAAAAAAAAATAGAACACGTGTCGGTCCCTCAAACACTACTCTTTCTCAGTGCGATAAGCGCCTTATCTGCATATGTTAACTATATGGTCATCTGGCAAGCGATAAACGGACAGCACAACTATACTTATTCTGCATTATGATTTATTAATATTTAGCGTGATTTAAAACGCGATGAATTTTATAAAAAATGAATATTTTCACTAAAGTATAAACTGTTTACAGTATTTTAGCTAAATCAAAAAACAAATACATTTTTCTACAAAAAAAAATCTGCTACTACTGTCTTGACAAATTACTATCAAACACATCTTTATGCTTAGCTGAAACCTTGGCCCAGAACCTGGGATGGGCACCAGAGAATACTAGGGTGGGCACGACCCACCTACTTATAACATTATTTTTTATAATCATTCATAAATCATACCCCATAACCCCAACTCAGTGTCAGTGTCAACAATACCTTCTAGTGATGTCGAGGTCCGGTTCCCTCGGGAGGTCCTTGTCCAGACTGACGTAAACGATCAGCCCCACTACGCATAAGACGATGAACACCTGATTCCTTCGCGAGCGATACCACCTTTTATTTCTGGCCGCCATCTACAAACCAAAGACAATCGTTAGCCAGCCGTATTATTTTTAATGGATGATAATGGAAAGGTAACCCCGCCTGCGCTTTTGATATAAACTGGCGGGGCACCAGCGATGGATGATAGGTGAGGATGAAACAGATCCCATTATGACAAATTCAACATTAAATCGACCACGATAATTTCCAGGGGAAACCGCGAGGAGGTCGACCTAATACGGTTTATTGCTAGCTAAAGGGTTGCTAATCCCCATTACTAACAATCCCTTGTCCCCCCAGACATCCATTTTAGATTTAAAATCCCTATACATATATCCAATGTTAAATGCAGTTCATGTCTATAGGCCACGATTATATCTTTATATTCGGTGGGCTGTCAGCTTGTTTACCATTATTCAAGTTGCATAAAAATCATCTAGATAAATGAGAAATGCATTAATATTAATCAGCCATCAATTTTATAATGACATCGATCGCAGACGCCCATCGAAGTGCAGAGTGGGGTTTCAACGCCCACTGAACACTTTGACACGTACACATTCCGGCCAAAAGTTTTAAAAAAAATGTGACGTGGACAAATAATATATGGATTTAACAAAGATACAAAAAAAAAAAAAACAACTAATAAAATTCTAAAGTAAAAAAAAAATTACGAGAGGAAACATATTTTTTTTTTTTAATGATTGACAATGGAATTGGTAACCACACCTGCACTATCGGTATACACCGGCGGGGCACCAGTGAAAAATGATAGGTGAGGATGAAGCAGGTCAGTTAGCCCGTGATGAATTCATCAAGAATTGTTCACAATGGTTTCCAAGGAGAACCACATGGAGGTCGACCTAATAGGGTATATTGCTAGCAATGAAGCTGTCAAACTCCATTGCTAATAATCCCTTTCCCCCCAGCTATAATGGATAGCTGCTTCGCTGTGGAAATAAGTGGAATAAAAGTACCCACATAAGCAACTTTTGTATTTTGGGGAATGGTAACCCCACCCGCGCTATACCGATAGCGCGGGTGGGGTTACCATTCCATTATCATGCATTAAAAAAAAAGTTCACAATGGTGGTAACATAAGGGGTATTATGGAGTGAATTGTACTGTCTATGGTGCTGTTCATATCTATAGATGACGGTTACCACATAATACACTAGGTAACTAAATTACCGTACAAAAAAATCTTCTCGTGTCATGGTGTTTGTTACCAAACTCTTCCGAAACGGCTTTACCGATATTTATGAAATTTTGTGTGCATATTGGGTAGGTCTGAGAATCAACTAAAATCTATTTTTCATATCCGTAAGTGATAAGGGTGAACCGCCTCAAAATATTTTTTTTTATTTGTTTGTAAATTATTTTTATTTTTATTTCATTATAATTTAGCATTGAAAAATACATACTACTTTAAATTTTCATCGTTTTACGATCAACCCCTGTATTTTAATCACGACTTTTATATTTCGCAATAAGTGGTAAAACAATGTTTACGGGGTCAGCTAGTATTTATATAAGTTTTGACAGGCACCATATAGAATCAATCTGAAACTGTACAAATACTATGCGAGACAATGTTGTTATGTTACCTTGAATACCTACTGAGTAACTCATTTGGTATTCTATTGTTTACATACATACATACATATGTATGTATATATGCCACTACTGTAACTGGCGACTCATGCATGAAACTGCTATGCTATGCTTTAATGAAATGAATAATATTATTATTTTTTTTTTTTATAAATCTTCCACCACTTCAACGTGACCTAAATTAATTAAATTAACATAGTAGGAGAGATTTTTTTTAAATAAAACTAAGTTTAAAAAAATAATTATAAGATTGTATTCCATTAAAAGCGGACTTAAATCTTGATAAAGCCAATTATGTATTTTGTTTTAAAAACTAAACCAATTTCTATAAACCAATGAAACAATTTTGTTAAAATTTTAACCAATTTTAATATCTATATAAATGATTGTAAATGTGGACTGTATATTTGGCCAAATAATAGCAGAGATAGTATATTTGTTGCTTACAGCACATTAAAAGAAAGTAAGAAAGATTACCATGTGATCCCAGTATAGAATAGGCCACCCCTTCCTTTTCCATAGGTCAGCAGTGGACATTTAAAGGCTGATATGATGATGACGAAAAGAGATTGTGGCACAATGCTGCCACACATAAGAGAAAAACCATAAAATCATTGTTCTTAATGAAATGTTGGGTTTGCCAATAATATTTTTTTATACAACCTAGAATGGCTAACAAGCTGACGGCCCACATGATGGAAAGTGGTAACCTTCACCTATAGACATGAAAAAATGACCAATGCAGCTTTGCATTATTTAGTTTTTAGTTATTAGTTTTGTTTTTAGAAAAAAAAATATAGCCCATGTTATTTGCAGATAGTATGGCTTTCTATATGTAAAGGAACTTTTAAAAATCAGTTATGAACTTCTTGAGTTTATTTGTTAAAACTTTCCACCTTATAATATTAATAAAATAAAAATAAATCTTTATAATATAAAATAAATATTTTATAATTTTAGTGAAATAAAATCTTAGGATAATATAACAATATAGTTGCTGTCAGATGAGAACCACTCAGATACAAGTATGATATGAGAAGTGAACAAAATTACCTGCTGACATTAAATATAGTGATAAAGAGTTCACTGGCAAATAAATCATTATTATATCAGGCCATTGACTGTCCACTGCTGAACATAGACCTCCCCTATAAGGTTGGGTTGCAAATAAATATTAATTTATTTTATATTCAATAAGTTGTACAACTTAAATTTTATATATATATATATATATATATATATATATATATATATATATATATATATATATATATATATATATATATATGAAATAGTAACTTGTGCATTGTATTAACTTTTTTGTTTCAAAGATTACTTCCAAATACATTTGTTTTTATACTAATCTAAGAGTAGACTGAACCCTAAGGGTATCCACTGGCCAAATCATACAGAAATAATTTATTTCAATAGCAATAATTAATTAGAGTATAATTCTCAGGTTTATCTAACACCTGAGAATGAAATTTAATATTAATTACACCAGATAACATCTAATTAAATGTATAATTAAAATAACACCACAAATTTCATGTAAACATGCAAAATAAATAATAAAACGTTGCGTATACGAGAACCTATTATTGAACGCTTTAATACCTAATGAAAAAATAAACTATCCCTGTTAATATCTCAAACCATATATTCTTTATCTCTTTATTGACATAAATACATTTATTATAACAGTAAACAGGTGATAAAATTGCCGTGAAAACAAGATGGTTAGTATGAGATGTCGGAATTAAAAAATAAAGCTATTAAAAATCATAAAGTAACAATCTTACCGCCAAATGCGATTATTGAATAAAACGTATTACACGATCAATCATTCGTCTATATACGGCAATACTGTTTATCGCCGACTGATAAAATAAATACGAAACAAAATTTTGATATTAAAGCATAAACACTATTTAAACCGAATAGATCATTCGGACTGGAAAATTTCCTTCATGACTGATTGTCAAACTTGTTTGACGTTATTTGTCCGTATTTTGTGTCAGTTGTCACAACCAAATTGATTTATTCTTTGAATTCATCATCAACTTCCTACCCTTCATCTTCATTCATATTATTATTTGGGGTCGTGATCGAATGGTTTTGAAAATAAATTATAAAAGTACGCAGACGATTACAAATGTCAAGATAAAAATGTTAGATATTTCGTAGCGCGATTGTTTCCTAATACCTAAATGAACAAGATGCAATTTTTTTGTTGTTTTCATTGGAAAACAGCGCTATTTGCGATCCAGTGGCAAAAGACAAAACTAATTCACAGCAATAATTTTAGTTCCCAAATTGCTCTACAGAGGCAGCACCAATGACTTCTTATTAAACTTTTTTAAATATGTTGAAAATGAAAAATTGCAGAAAATATCTTATAATGTTCAGTAATCGCAACTATCTGTTATATAGACAATCAGTCACCCGTTAACTTCCTCTATTTAATATAAATTAAGGACCTACGATCGTTAAAGAAAAAGCTACAAACGAGAGAAAATTTTGTACATAATATATCGGCTTAAATTGGATATGTTTGAGCTTTCGTATTTCTACAGTGAAACAGCTGTGCTTGCATGGCTGTATTCGAATTGAAGAAATATGACAATAAAATTGCAGAGTTCGGAGGCATAATACCTTAGTCCTCCAGAATAGTAATGCATAAGAGTATCATAGGCGTCACAGTATACTCTGTGATATCTATGGTACTGTTCACACATATAGGCGACGGTTCGTTCCGGTTCATTCCGGTGGACCCTCAGCTTAACATTTTAAGTTGCTTAAAAAGAATATGATATACAAAAGTATTAAAATAGACTTTTTAATTTTTTTTTAATTCCTTGCAAGAATGATTGATGTACCTATGTTATTGTAAATTTAAATGACTGTGTTGTTTGAATATACTTTAGGTAATTAATGAGGGAGCTAAACGGATTTTAACAAAATTTGATAATAAAATTAATCTTATTTTAAACTAGCTGATACTCGCGACTTTGTCCACGTGGTATTTGTTATTCCTGTTTAGTATGTATCGATGTCTATACCTACTTATTTATTATATCTAGGAATACTGGACCAAAATTAACAAATGACGTGCCATTCTTACCGTAGTTCAAAATTACTTAGGTAGGTTTTTTTTTTGGTGGGAGAAAATGGTATGAAACCCCGCCCGCGCTAATGGGATACGCTGGCGGAGCACCAGTGAAGGGTGATAGATGACAATGAAAACAAGCCAGTTAGCCCATCATGATGAATTCATCAGGAATTAACCATTAAAGTTTCCATTGGGAACCGCAAGGTCGTCCTGACTGGGTATATTGCTAGCAATGGGATTCTCAGTCTCCATTACTAACAATCCCTTTCCTCCCTACTTAAGTAGGTTGTGTACTAAACTGTATAAGTTACTATAGTTTTTTAACTATCCCACGGGAACTCTTTAATTATCCGTGATTAAAAATATCTAAAATGTTGACCGGGGATGTAAGGTACCACCATGTATGCGCCACTGCTCATGTTTATAGCCAACAAGTACCACTTTCCATCAGGTGGGCCGTCAGCTTATTTACCATTGTAAGTTACATAAAAAAAAAATACAAAATTTCGTTTATTTCGGTCCAACAGTTTCGGAGATTACCCCATACAAGTAAACAGAGAAACAAAAAAATTAAAAAAAAATCTGGATGTGTTCTATTTCACTTCTAAAATCTCCCTGACTCAGTTTTTAACTTTTTTTTCTATGTACAGTATGATTTTTTTTTTTCTAATCATCGTCATTATGTTATAAAACGTGTCATGAAAGAGAGACATTGTTTTCCAACACCAAAATAATATAAAATACAAACCTGCAACTCTGGTCGATTCTAATTTCTTCAAATTACAGCAAAAAAAGTTATAAAACTTTGCAATAGCAAGCAAGTTGACGGAATTATGGGACAGCCCACCTAATGTAAAGTAGTAACCGTCGCCTACAGGTGAAGCCGAAATTACAATTTTTTTTTTCAAGGGCTGTTCTGTTAACATATTAAAACTAAAAATATCTGCCAAAGAAGCATGGGGAGAAAAACTACAAACAGTTCCAGCCATTGAGTCAGTGCAAGAGGCTAAAAATTATCTCTCATCTTTCAATTATTAATTCATGAAATTCAGACATGAAATTCCTTTACTAATCTATGACATGTGTAGATTTCTTAGTTTAGGCTTCGATTTAACTCTGTATAAACATAAACAGCACCATGAGTGCCATAAAGCTCATTGGCCCATATTTTGCAGCCTTATTTGTTACCCTTACACAAAACGAAAAAAACTTAACACAGGGAAAGGTTTATAATAAAAGAGAAAAGGCCCTATCTAAAACCGGTATCCGCCCATTAATACCGTATACATAAACAAGTTATATAATTAATTCTCAAGTCACGCCCATGAAATACCAACATGGTGACTATTACATCACCATTAGCGTTTACAATCACACGTGTGTTCGGTGGACCGGATCGCCCGTGTCAGTACACCGCTGCCTTCGAAAGATGCAACTCAATATTTTGTTAAATAACCTGTGATACTATGTGACTGTTCATATTTGTTCCTGTGCCTGCACTTTGTTTATTACGGTAAGATTTTTTTTTTTACAAATTAAAAAGTAAGTGAATATGTATTTTATAAACAAACGAGTCAAGGTTCCCATGCAAATTAATTGCACAGTATGCATAATTTTCTTTACAAATAAATACGTTTCTTTACAAATAATTAAGGACTATGTTTGCAACTTTTTTTTTATAAAACTTAGAATGGTAAACAAGCTGACGGCCCACTTGATGGAAAGTGGTAACCGTCGCCTATAGACATGAGCAGTACCATGGACATAACAGAGTATACTGTTTCGCCCATAATACCCCCATGCGTCGCCATTCCTGAGGACTCAGGTGTTACTCCTCTGTACCCAGTAAATTCACGCCATATCCCACCGTTCAAACCGAAACACAGCCATGCAAACACAACTGCTTCACGGTTGACAACTTAATCGAAATAGGTCGATTGATTGATCGAAATATAGTAAACCTATGACTTTACCACCCCAAAATCTATATATATATATATATATATATATACGGTGTATGTCAAATTTCATAACAACCCCGTTTGTACTACAGGTGGGGATGAAGTTAGGTCAGTCAGCTCATCGTGATGAATTCTCTAATAAACAGAAAGATTTCCAGAGAAGGACGGCATGGATGTAGGAATTGACTTTGGGTATATTACTGGCCACAGATCCGCTAAACCATTACTAATCCTGTCACTTGTTTACGTACAAATAGTTACTGTTGGGGCATTATATTACTGCTGCTATTAAATTATTATTTCGAAAAATATAATAATATAGACAGCTTTATCCTTGATTTGTTTGAATAAAAGGTTACAATGTATTGATCTGGGGCCTAGAGTTATTGGCTGTCTGCCGAATGCATTTAAAATTCGTTCAACCGTTTAAGCATGATTGAATTGTACTTGATTCAAACGAGTATTGTTTGAGGTTTCGTTACATATTCGTGGACGTACCATATGCGTTCATGACCCATATAACATTACCACAGAGAATCAATCATAGTGGTATTGAAAAGTGCTCATAAAATTTAGAGGGTCCCAAATGAAGAAGACTAAAAAACTTTAGGTACTTGAGAAAATAGTAAAAACCCCTTAGTTCAGCTTGTTTGTCATTCCAATTCATTCTATAGGCGACGGTTACCAATTTCCACATTCGCGTGATCGGGATATGTTAATTAGTTGTGATCGGTTAAGCCGTTAAAGTGGTAAGAAGTTACGTATAAAGAAACTCACCAGTTACCAGAGGGAGACTTTGTACAAAAGTCGATTACTGTCCCATTCGTGTTTCTACCGTGAAGCAGTTATGTTTGCATGGCTGTGTTCCGGTTTGAAGGATGGGATATGGTGTGGATTTACTGGGTACAGAGGAATAACATCTGAGTCCTCAGGAATGGCAACACATGGGGGGTATCATGGGCGAAACAGTATACTCTGTTATGTCCATGGTACTGTCCATGTCTATAGGCGACGGATACCACTTTCCATCAGGTGGGCTCTCAGCTTGTTTGCCATTCTAAGTTGCTTAAAAAAAAAAAGAACAGAGCCATAAGCGTAGCGACTTCACGTCAAATACGCAAGTTGGTCAAAAATACCCAAGCAGAGGACTTTTATAGTCTTCTTATGTTTCTTATTAAAAAAATCACTCAAAAGCCTAATTTCTTCATTTCAGGAGATGAAGTTATTATTTCTGCTGCTAGCCTGCATCATCTCTACATCTGCGAACAAATGCAACGGGGTACTCTTCGACCAAAGATATTACGAGCCACAAATATTAAAGGATGGCCTCAACAGAGTGAGACAACTCGTGTTCAACAGAAAGGATAATGACATTTACTTCTTATACAACCAAGGTGTTTTAAACTACTACGGTTCTGTAGGTTATTATAATTTAAACACGAAATTAGCTGGTTTCTTTAAGGAAATTCGAAATGCAACAAGTATTTCTATTGACGAGAAGAGAAACAGGATTTATATAGGCAGTATTGATGGACTATACGCTGTAGGGGAGAGAAGAATACCTGAAAAGTTTCCCTTGTACGAACCGATTCAGCATTTGTTTTTTAATAATATTTTATACTTCACAAATATGAGAAATAAAATGTTTACATTTGATACAGACGGTGTTAGGATAGTTGAAGACATGAAGGATTACACAGCAGACAGTTTTGTTGTGGACGGAGATGGGAATATGTTGTTCACTAATGGGAAGAAATTGTTCAAAATAAAATTGGGAACAAGATCCCCAGCCTTTGAATTAGTCACACGTACTGTCACAGCTTTGTCTAAAGATATAGAAGATAGGCTGTTCGCAGCATCACTAGACGGCATTTTCGTGTATAATAAATACAAATTTGCTTTAGACAAGATATCAAATTTGCATGAAATTAAAGCTTTAACCTTTAATAATATGTTGGAACCTATTTATGTGGTATTCGATCTTTTAGTTAAACTAAAAAATCCCGTGAACTGTGTTGAAGATACATTCTTTGTGTGATATTAAAATTAATATTGTAATATTGTTGGTTTATTATTTTCAACCGACTTAAAAAAAAGGTGATTCTAAATTCGCTTGTTTTTTGTTTATTATCTTATTTATAACTCTGTCATTTATAAACCGATTAGAAAAATTCTTTTTGTATCTGTAAGGCTTAGATTATAAAGATAGAGCGTCGTGTCTCAAAAACAAATCAACTATTTGTAAGCTAATTGTCAAATTAACAGACTTGTTTTTTTTTATTAGTATTCTATATATGTAATTACGCACACAATATATTTTGAATATGCTATTTTCTTAAGACTTACTATGTCATATCGGTACGGCAATACTGTTGCTGGAAGTTGATTCCAAAGCATAGTTGTTTTTAAAAGAATTAAATAAGCACTTTTAAAAACTAGGCCCTTTTTTTCGGTATAGTCCTAAAATGTTGCAACTGGTAACACCTTGTGCTGTCAATGTCAATTTATCAAATGAATGACAGTTGCATTTGATTGCAGTCACTGTAACTGACATTTGAATGCAAACTTGATTTGTTTAGATCACTGTCGCTTATTAATGGAGTGCCTTTCAAAAGATTTTTATGGTTTTTATAAATATTTATAACTTTATATTTATTTAGTGTGTACTGCAAAAATTTTATTTGTAATTTAGGTTAATTTTATCTGAACTGAAGTGTATGTTGTTACCAGACAGACAGTATTTGTTATTTTCCTTGTGTAGTTGTGTTGTCCAAGTAAGATAGGTACTTAAATAATTATTATATTTATATTATTCATTTTGGAATAAAAATCAATGATCATCATCATCATTTCAGCCATTATCCAGCCACTGCTTGACATAAACCTCTCCCACAGATTGCCATAAAGAACGGTCCTGAACTACCTGCAACTCCACTGCCACTGCCACTAACTCCCTGCAATGCATTTCAGGTCGTCGATCCACCTAATACGTCCTACACTGCGTTTATTCTGAGGTATTTTAGATGAAAAAATGTGGCGTAGTTTCCTGAACGGTACCCAACCGAGTTGGATCCGTCGGTTGACCTTTCGGTCGAAGTTGGATTTACCCATTCGGACAACTTGTCTCAGGAATACATACTCATCGACAACTTCGAGCTTAGTGTTCTCAATCGTAACTGGTATAGGTGTGACATAGACGTTAAACATGATTTTAGTCTTGTCCATGTTCATCGTAAGACCTACCTGTTGAGAAACACCATTGAGGTCATTGAGCATAGTTTTCAGATCCTCAATGGATTCCGCCATTATTACTATGTCATCGTCAAATCGAAGGTGAGTGATGTATTCGCCATTGATGTTTATACCATATCTTTTCCAGTCCAAGAGTTTGAAAACATCTTCCAATGCAGCTGTAAAGTTTCGGAGATATGACGTCATCCCTGTCTTACACATTTCTGCACTGGGATGGGTTTCGTACTCTGGTTCTGAACTCGGATAGACATCGTAGCCTTACTGTACATACACTTCATTACTTCGATATACCTATAGTCAATCGTGCACCGCTGGAGAGACTGTAATACCGCCCATGTCTCGACCGAATCAAAGGCTTTCTCATAGTCCATAAACACCAGACGTAGTGGTAGATTATACTCTTTGATCTTCTGTATAGTCTATCGTGCTACCTTTTTACGGAAGCCTGCTTGTTTGGGTCGCTGGAAGTCGTATAATAATAATCAATAATAAATTCAATGAGGTCGATTCTGAGGCGATATTTCTCTACACTTCTCTATTTGTAAAATTAACGTTCAATTTGATATAACAGCGAAATCTCCAGTATAAAGAATAATATAAACTAATTTTCTAATAAACTTGAGTCAAAATTATAATGTTAATTTATAATGGTCCATAAAACTAATTTTGTATCATATATAAATATTAGGTTAAGAAATAGAGAAATGGCGCTTCAGAATCGTTCCCATTATTTGTCAAAATACTCTGTGGTCTATAGATAGTCTCCACCTTACAGATAAATAATTGACATAGATAGGCAGACTACACACGTTCCTATCATTGTTTTACTGATTTACCAGAGGGAGACTTTGTACAAAAGTCGATTGCTTGAGTACCTCTGTCTCATTCGTGTTTCTACCGTGAAACAGTTGTGTTTGCATGGCTGTGTTTCGGTTTGAAGGCAATAACATCCGAGTCCTCAGGAATTGCAACGCATGGGGGGTATCATGGGCGTAACAGTATACTCTGTTATGTCCATGGTACTGCTCATGTCTATAGGCGACGGTTACCACTTTCCATCAGGTGGACCGTCAGCTTGTTTGCCATTCTAAGTTGTATAAAAAAAAACTGATTGCGTCTTTAATTCTTCGAACGGGTCACTTCGGAATTAATTTATTTAATCTTTAAATGAAAATGTAACTATACTTAATCTAATATATTATAATAATTACTAATATAACAGATTATAAATGTGAAAGTGAGTTTCTTTATACTTTACTTCATACCACTTTAACGGCTTAACCGATCACTTAACGAATCTGCATATCCTGATCACGCGAATGGAGTCGAAGGTAAAAACTAGTATAAATTTATTTCCTCCGTGCTATGTGTGCATCGGGCGCAAATGTACACTTTTAAAACTATTTTAGCCGCTAGTTGATAATTAATTTGAAAGAAGTCCTAAAACGCAAGTCTGAATGTAATATTGCTTACTCGCGCCATCTATGTATATTTGATCAATCATTCGTGCACGCAGATGCGTGATTTATGTTCATGCATGGTGATGTTATATTAACAACCAACGTTAATCCCATGGAGGAAAGGATTGTTAGTAATGCGGACTAAGTTCAGTAAAGAAACGAGAGCAATATACTCTGTCAGGTCGACCTACACGTAGTTCCCCTGGAAACCATCGTACTGAATTCCAGATGTATGTAGCTCATCACGATGAGCTAACTGACCTGCCTTTTCATTCTCACCTATCATCCCTCACTGGTGCCAGGCCAGCGTATAACGTTAACGCAGGATTACCATTGCATTATCATCCATTAAAAAAAAACGTTAATCATATAATAATAAAGAAATCCATCATTTAACAAAATCTGCTTTCTTTTTCCAGGCAACAACTAAAGCAGAAATATGAGTAAATCTGCCGAAAGGATTCATATTAATGGAATCTTATACGACAAGGAAATACTGAAGACAGATCTAGTCCGTCCATCTTTATTAACTGTTGACAGTAATTCTAACACACTATACTTCAGTTTTATTTCTAAAGATGATGAAAACTATAAATCTGCTAGATTAGATCTCAATACGAAACAGTTCAACACAATAGACGATGTAGTTGGTGGGTACGCTCATGCTGCAGACCAGAAAACTGGTGATGTATACATAGGTTGCGATGATGGCCTTTATAAATATGATCCCATAACAAACAAAACTGAATTCATTGGTGAGAAAGGAGGTAATATTTTGAGTATTTTCTACAAAGATGTTTTATACTATACCAAACTGGGAACATTGAGATTTTTACACACTTTCACAAATGGCGAAGCTTCGAGATGTTTAGAACTACAAGATTTGGAAGTAGAAAATTTCTGTATTGATAATGAGGACATGATGTTCTTTGTCAACGACAACGGCATTTATGGTCAAAAAAAAGGTACTTATCATGCAACGCTGTACGAGGGATTACCAGACGATTATGCGGAATGCCTGACAGCTGATGTAAACGGTGTTGTTCACGTTTGCTACAGAGGTAAAGGTATATTTAAGATCAATAAAGAAACTGCTTGTATAGAAAAAGTTGCAGATCTAGGTAAAGATTTTGGAGCGACAGCTACGTTTGACAAGGACAACAACATCGTATATGCAGACGCGACGAGAGTTATACGACTGGTACCTACTGTAGATGTTTGATCAAGTCGCTACAAGCCTGTTTATATTTGACTATAATATTAAATAAAGTCTAATGAAGTATTTATTAATTGACATGAAATTGTGTTTGATATATTTTTCTATCAACTTATTTGTGTCTATTTGTACCTATTGTTTTTTTTTTAAATTTGCATGTCTAATCATGGCCAAATATATGAACTTATAAATATTGTTAACTTCAATATAATTGCCATGTTTCTTGCAAATTTCATTCATTCATTCAGACTTCGTTAAATGGTATTGCACAGTGCACAAACTGTGAAATGGAGTAATTAGATGATAGTTTACATAATAATATAGATAATGTACCTTCTTTGCGCAGTTTGAACTTTCTTCCCACAATAATCGGTCTTATGACGATAAAACGAAGCGCCAAACAACCAAAATACATAATTAAATAAACTTCAAACCAAAATGCTTTCTTAACAGTTCTTTTTAAATGAAATGACTACTCATATAGAGTATACCTATTCTATTTTTTAATAATGGAAAATTATGATATATTCATTTCTTTGATTATTTTATTTTCTTTTCGGTGAATTGTGCTCTCTTTTCAGAGCGGTGTTTCCCAACGTGGGGCCTATGTCCCACAAGGGAGGCAATTAAAAAGTTGACTCAAAGCGATTTTAACCCTCTTTCTTGGTTCATTTAAACGCAATGGTTCGAGTAGATATCGGTACAAAATTTAACAAAAAAGTAAATTTAAAACAATGCTGTAAATATTTATTAGGTATAATTTCGTTTGACGTTACCAAAATATCAACTGAGCGTTTAGAGTCGTCAAGTAAACTTTGTCGGGAAAAATTACATATGGTGGCATAAAAATTTTAGAAATGTTTAAGTGGGGCATGGCACAAAAAAGGTTGGGAAACACTGATCTAACAGCTATTTGCGATGAAGCGGTAAAAAACAGAACTAATTTATAAATATAAGATGACAATGAAATGGTAACCCCACCTACGCTATTGGTATATAATGGCAGGGCACCAGTGAGGGATGATAAGTGAAGATGAAGCAGGTGGTTGGCCCATCTTGATTCCTTCTTATAAACTCATTATAAGAATGAATTCCAAGGAAAATCGCGTGTAGGTCGGCCTGACATACTGCTAACATTCCCTTCTCTCCAAATATGTATTTAGGGCCTACTGAAAATCAGTGTCGTAGCTTCAGATATGGAACTGCGACATGCTGAGTTAGGTCCTTTGCACAGACACTGCTACATTCATCTTGTTTTTTTTTTCTTCTTCTTTTATTGTGATTTTACCATAAAATAATGATGTTATTATGTAATTGTGTAATTTAAATTTTTATGTTTTTTTTTAAACTACTAGTGCTGTCATATTGTCATGTATAATTTATAATTTTTCCTTATGAAAGATATTATAGCTAATAAATGATACAATTAAGTGAAAAGTTTGTTCAGTATATGTGTAAACAAATGCGGTTGCCAACCCGCTTGCCAAGCGTGGCAACTGTCCAGCAGTGGACAGTTAACGGCTAAAATAATAAATGTATAAAATAATTAATAAATAAAATGTTTAGATTTCCAAAAATAAGACGATTATTTAAGTAAGTATTTTTATTATTTCTCGTACAAAACAATACTAATAAGTACAAAAATCTTATTTACCTAAATTAGAAATGTACACATAGTTCACACATACATTTGGCTCGGAATGTAATGGAGTCATACATACAAATTTCCATGTCACTTTTTTTCAATTTGCTATTTTAAATATAGTACAATATCATACAGAACATCTTAAATTTCGAAATAAATAGATAGATACATACATACATATACAGAAAAAAAACAAAAAGAAAGGACATAAAAGAGGTAACATAATTTTTCGTGCGTATGCCACAGTAACACAAAATGGTCACGAATTAGTTCATTGCTTTGCCCTCAAAAGAGCAAAACATTGATACTTTGTTGCAGCCAAAAACCAATATGAGCATTCATCTATAAATAATAATTATCTCTGAATATATGATCAGCGCCATCTAGTTTTAAAATAAGCAGAATTTGTACACATTGATTCTAGACAACTGATAGAAATACTTAAATAATTTTTTTTTTGTTAATACTCTATCTATATAAAAATTGCACATAGAAAACATCCAAATCAATACGAACAGTATTGTGCGGGGTCGAATCTGCGACCATCGAAAGATGAGGCAGTGTGCTAAACCACTGCATTATCTACCTACATACAGGAGAATAATATATTTTTAAGAAAAATATCATATTTTGCAGTAACTAAAAAAAAATCAAACGCATAATAAATAAAAAAAAAATAATCGAACATAAAAAAAAAAAACATTTAAAAAATACTTGATTGAAAATAGAACTTTGTTTTTTTTTAATTAATCGATATATGTAATTTATATTTGACTTGCATTCTGAATTTGACATGGATTTCTGACACTCCATTTTCTAATTTGTACATATTAAATCAAGCCATACAATTTATATCAAGGCATTTGACGTTAGGGCATCGACAGTTTTGTTCTTTGCTCACAAAATAAACTATCACAATTTAGTCTATGGTAGCTTCTTGGCAGTAATTTTATCAATGGTATCCGGGCGGTCCGTACGCTGTCGAAGGTTTATATCCAGAATTGCCATTGTGGAAACCAGTCAAAGACCCACTGAAGTCATTGGGAGCGTTGTAATTGTAACCTGGAATCATACCAACACAGACTGTAATCCCTGATGGACTTTTTTTAATGGGTGATAATGGAATAGTAACCCTACCTGCGCTATCGGTATACACCGGCGGGGCACCAGTGAAGGATGATAGGTGAGGATGAAACAGGTCAGTTAGCCCATCGTGACGAATTCAACCAGAATTGTTCACGTTGATTTCCAGGGGGAACTACGTGGAGGTCGACCTAATAGGGCATATTGCTAACAATGGGGCTGTCAAACTCCATTGCTAACAATCCCTTTCCCCCTTCCCTGATGGAGTAGTCAGAGGGATGGGACATAGGAGAAGAGGGGGGGAGGGTTATCTGAGAGAAGCTCCACAGTACCCATGCATCAGTACAAGGTCAGATTTTTTATCCAAGTTAAAATGACAAACAAGCAATTCGCCTGATCGAAAGTAGTACCCGTCGCCTATAGACATGAACAGTACCATGAACATAACAGAGTATACTGTGACAGTATAGTGGAGTATAATATAATAGTAAAAAAACAATAAGCATTCTATTTGAGGACTGTGTTATTTTTTTATACCTTGAGTATTGTGAGACGGCTCGGGGTATCTTGCCTCGCCTTCGTACCGGACGTCAGCGTGGAAACCGGTCTTCCAGTCGGCATGGTATGTCACTGGAAATAGTCATTTCACTCTTAGAAGTATTTATTTTATTACACACTCCTTCTCCGTCCGTCCTCAAGTTACACTGTGGTATGAGAAGCCTGGCATCGAACAACTGAGAGGACTACTCCGGATATCCAGACTCGAGTCAATTCAGAACAGTTCGTTTCCTAAATTGGCTCGACCGGGAACTGTACTCGTTGTAGAATCAATAAGAATCATAGACATTATTTGCCGTGTGGTCCCGGCATAGAATAGGCCACCCCTTCCTTTCCCGTGGGGGTCGTAAAAGACAACTAAGGGAGGGCGAGGGATAGGCAACAGCGTCCCTCTTAAAACACCTCCAAAACCTAGCTACAGTTGACAATCCGCCTGCTAAGCGTGGCAACTACTGGCAAAACCCCCTAAAGAGGAGGCTTATGTTCAGCAGTGAACAGTTAAAGGCCGATATGATGACGACGATGATAGACGTATTTAGAGAGGCGGATGGGTACGCCGTGCCCATCCCACAATTGTTTGATGCCCATCCCAAAAGAAACTTCTTGATCTGGAACTTTTAGCTATAGGTAAAAATGTTTGATAGCACATATAGGTTCTTATAAGGGATGAGAATGTTAAAGACATACATACCGATCTGAGTGCGTCCATCAGGCAGCTGGACCCTGTACTCTCCTCGGACCACATTCCCGTCAGAGGTCTCCCGTCTGTCGTAATCGTTACCCGATTGAGCGTCCTTCACTGAATACCCGAACTCATAGGATTTGGGCTGGAAATTAATAGATAATAAAAATTGAATGTAATCATTAAATCTTGGAAAATTGGAAAAAAAATTAACACATCTAATTTAAACTTACTTTATTTTGAAAGACACAGATGTTATTTTGAAAGATCAAATCTATTTTATTGGTGGGAAGGAATTGTTAGTAATAGGGAGGTTAGTCCCCATTGCTATCAATATACCTTATCAGGTCGACCTCCACGCGGTTCCCCCTGGAAACCATCGTGACAAATTTATTGTTAAATTCGTCACGATGGGCTAACTGACCTGCCTTTTCATCCTCACCTATCACCCCTCACTGGTGCCCCGCCAGCGTACACCGTTAGCGCAGGCGGGGTTACCATTCCATTATCATCTATAAAAAAAATGTATTTTATTTGGAAATTTTAAGTTCATTTTTTCATATTAATAAAATTAAGAATCCCAAAGGTAGGATTATGCAGTAAAAATATTTTCAAATAGATAATTATTGAAAAAAATAGCAAAATCCACACAATAAATGTAATGGGGAGATTAGTCACCATTGCCAGAAATATACTCTATCGGATTGATCGCCATACGTTTACCCTTGAAATACACTATGGTTATTTTCTGACCAATTGACTTGACTGCATTCAATGTTCAATGTAAATAGAAATAAAAATCTTGGATTCCATCAGTAATGGTAATTTACTGGGTACAGAGACATAACACCTGAGTCCTCAGGAATGGCAACGCATGGGGGGTACCATGGGCGACACAGTATACTCTGTTATGTCCATGGTACTGTTCATATCTATATGCGACGGTTACCTCTTTCGATCAGGCGAGCCGTCAGCTTATTTGCCGTTCTAATTTTCACATATATAAAATTAATTGAATGTCTTGTAAAATGAAGTTCTAATGCTAGATGTTGCTAATTTATAAATGCTTATAAAATTTATATTAGGTACTATGTTATAAGTATAGTTAATTGTTTTAAAACAACATTGATAACCTATGACAGCATCCACATAGCGGGAACAGGACAGAAAATCTGTAGAGTCGATATTTTTATCTAATATGAATAAATATAGAATAGAATAAAAACCTTCCATATCTAGTTATAAAGTAATAACATATTTTATTAACCGCCGTGTAGGCCACCCCTTCATTTCCCATAGGTCTCGTAAGAGACGACTAAGGGAAACAAGGAATAGGTAGCATCGTCCCTTTTAAGACATCTTACTGCATAACTGCGTTTGCCAAATTTAAAATATATTTCAAAAATTGTATAATTATTATTCCATACATATGAAAACTTAACGAGTAAAAAATTTATTATTTTTTTTTTATTAATTTTTAATAATTTATATTAAGAAAATATGATTAATTTTTATTTTATATTTTTGCTACATACATTTCATTGTATACAGACGCCATCTGTTGATAGTGGTAGTAATGAATGAGAGCAATAGATCGAATCTGCTAAATTTATTAACTTTCTATAAAAAAAATACTGACTCTTATTTTAAAAGCAATTGCAATAGTAAACATTAAAATAGAAATTGATGAAAATAGCAAAATATAAGTTAAAAATGAAATCAACTAACTTCCAATGGTATTTACGAAGAATTACGAACGAAACATGAGAACCTTAAAGAAAAATGCTTTTATTATGTAACTTGTAAAAGCAAAGAAGCTGACGGCCTACCTGATGGAAAGAAGTACTCATTACCTTTGCATACATAAACAATCTGCATGTATGTGTATGTTAGTGCATGAATAAACTCATCACCTTCTAGAAAAACTAGAAATGCATCAGACATACGGGACTCCGATGTAATTTTTACTAGTCTTCATAAACAACAGTGATCAAGTGATTACTGTTGTCTATGAAGATCGACCATCTAAGATAAGACCATCGGGAGCGCCACAAGCTTATTTTCCACAATACAGTAAAAGCTCTTTATTCGAGGGGTATACGTTCCGCAAATATACCGCGAATACAGAAAATATAGAAAACCGAACCATTTACACAGCGGCAATAACATTTGACAACATACTTTAGGCATAGTTGTAATAAGATCTGTTTTACTTTTTTATTAGTCCATTTGCCGACACGTTTACAAAGGATACCTAATCCTTTTTAATAATATGCACCGATTAGATCCGCAAATACAGAAATTTTTAGCCGCGAATATAGGAATTGGGTCGTATTTTTTTAAACCGTGAATAGTGAAAACGCGATTGAAGGAAGCGTGAATAAAGAATTTCAACTGTATAGATAAAAAAATAATTAAAGAACTCTCAACAAGCGAATACTCCATTCATTAATTCGTCGAAAACTTGGTACATTATCAAGTCGATTCGTATGTTTATTATTTTAGTTTTCCAAAGGCTACCGTTAGACGCGGTAAGTTGATATTTAATTATAAATACATAGATTTTTTATATGTTATCTATAAAATTAACTAGCTCTCACAAAGTTCACACGTGATTCTTGATTGTTTCATAGTTTTTTTTTTTTTTTTAATAGATTTGCATTCAGTATTTTTTGGCTAACAAATTATCACTAATTTCCAGATTTCGTCTACATCTATACTATGTTTTTCTTTTCCATTCGACTCTCTTTACTCTTCTCTTTCTGACATTATCATCTTCCAAACAATCCATCCATCTATTTATAGGCCTTCCTCTATCCCTGTGATCATCCAAATTCATATGTTTCATATAATATTATTGTAATTCATCTTTTGAATTCACATTTTTTTCATACAATTTGGAATAACAAATATATTTATGTGACTGCTAACAGCCACCAATCACGAACGTCACAGAATATCAATGCCATTGTTATACTTCCATTGTACATAAAAAATACAGAAATTGAATTTTAAATATTATAATTGAGCCATTTTCTTTGAAAGCTGTATAAGACCATTGTGACAAAAACTTGTGCATGATAAAAAAGAATACCAATTTCCTATGAACTTTTTATTTATAAAGTTTTTCCAAATAGTATAATAACATAGATATTGTATCTATATTTCTCAAACTATTCAAGTGCCAACCCTTAAATATCCCCCTATAAAATAAAATACACTTACACCACTTTTAAAGTAAACTACTCATTTACAGTACTACTTGTTTATCGTAAATAGAAATAGTTTTATTTCAGCGTAAACATATTTCCTTGTATTATAAAAAAAAAAAAAACTTTACAATTATCATGATCACGTGTTTCTTTGCACATGCCTAATTATTTATAAATAGGTATCTGTCTTGTACAAATGACGATTGAATTTTTTTTAGGACTTTATTAAATGCGATGGCATTCACAGACTTTGCCCTTGTTATTTAGGATCCACGCAATATTTATGATGTATTACAAATTGTTCCATTTAACTTGTTTTAACCGATTTACAAAGGGCGTAAGTTCTCAATACGCCTTAATTTTTTCTGGAGTTACATATTTAATACTGTTATAAATATTTAGTAATTCTTGAAGTTTAAAAGTTTTTAATTAGTTACACAATTTGTCATTAATCTTTTAATCGTATTTATTTACTAACTTTACAATTTATTAATTTCCAGTTCACAATGGAACTCACTTTCCTACTTTGCATACTGGTTATCGTGCAAGCAGGCGTTATAAAGGAAAAAGAGTCTTGCGAAGGCGTCATAATCAACGAAATATACCATGACGTTGAAGTCTTGAAGAGTGAACTGGACAGACCATATTTATTAGCTATAGATCGCAGCACTAACACATTATACTTTAGCTTCAGTGAATCAAAAGAAGACGATGTCTTCAAATCAGCAAGACTGGACCTTAATACAAAGCAATATAGCACAATTGACGATGTGAGCAATGGTTTCGCTCAAACAGTAGACGAAAAAACTCATGAGGTATACATAGGAGGCAACGATGGTTTATACAAATACGATCCAGCTTCAAATAAAGCCGAGTTCATCGGTGAAAGGGGAACAGATATTTGGACTATTTTCTATAAGGACGTTTTGTATTATTCAGTGTTTCCATCTCAGTTCTTATACACGTTCTCAAATGGCGAATCATCAAGATTTCCAGACTTACAAGACACAAAAGTGGATCATTTTATAATTGACAATGAAAACATCATGTTTTTTACAAATGCTACAGGACTGTACAGTCAAGAGAAAGGTACTAACACAGCAACTTTGTACCAAGACTTACCAGAGAATGGAGCGAGAGGGATGACTCTAGATGTAAACGGTAACGTTCATGTTTGTTATCAAGATGGTATATTTAGGGTGGATAAAGAAGAATCCAAATTAGATAAACTTGTGGAATTAGACGACGCATTCGGCGTTGCGTTTGATAAGGACAATAATATTATATATGCAGATGCAACGAGTGTAGTGCGATTAAAACCGAACAAAAATAAAACTTGTTAGATACGATATGTGTGATACATAATCCACCTTCTCAGTCTAGTATCCTTAATGCTGAGGCTCATTAAGTGGTTGCATGAGTTGCTCTGTCCTTGTCCATATTCTTCGCCAAACATTATGATCTCATGATCCTGCATCAATTAGATCTTTTATTGCAAAATTACAAAACCTATTGAAGTATGTGTATCAGTTGTCTAGTCCAATAATACAAGCTTTACTTAGTTTGGCACTAGATGACGTTGTATAATGTGTCTAATATTATTAATTTAATTACCCATGTATTTCATAATTTTTGGTCGGGTCACTTTAAGAAACGGTTTCATTTCAACCGGTTAGCAACTGAATATTCTGCCGGGATCTATATGGGTAGGTGTTACTTCTAGATGAATTAACACTGGTAAGATTACAGAGTTAGTAATGCAATTTATGTGCAAAATGCTTTTATACAATTTCAAATTTCAAACAAGCTGAGGGCTGACTTGATGGAAAACAATAACCGTCGTCTATAGACATGAACACCAGAGAATACATTATAATATAAATGAATCTCACACGTTGCCATTGCTCAGAATTAGAGTGTTATACCTCCGTATCCAATAGTTTTATATTTCATTCTTCAAATCATGTAAGCATAACTGATAAACAGCAAAAACACTTTGCACAAAGTCTCCCTCTGGTAAGTCATTGTATTAGATTTGTTTATAAATACTATAATTAAGTGACAAAGATGGAAAATATTAGCCTATAAATATGAATAGCAACAGTGACATCACAGAATACACCGTGCTAATCATAGTACCCTTTATATATTACCATATTATGGCACTATATTCCATCATATTCAATCTTACCTTATCATTATATACTGTCATATACAATATCAAATCTTTAAACCGAAATTTAGCAATGCAAAAATAACTGCTTCATGGCAGAAATACGAGTGGGACAGAGTTGTCCAAGCAGACAATTTTTTATGAAATCTCATGCCTCAAATAAGAAATAATATTCTTGAAGTTAATTTGTTCATATACGATAATCTAGTGACCTCTAAAGTAGTTTGTCTCAATGTCACACTACATCATAGAGATGAACAATAAAATAGAACTTAAATAAGATATACTGTTAACCTTATTGATATGAAGCAAAAAGTTTAAAATTGAATAGAATAAAACAAAACTCACTGCGCGCAGATAATACATAGTAATGACATGTGTGACAGACACGATCAAAACATCAATTAAATTGAACGCGATTCAGTTGTAAACGTGTTGTAACGCGCTCAACTTGTTTATACCAAGAACGAAATGTCTAATGCTATAAAAAATGTACTGCTCATAATATTGATAAGTGTCGAAGTCAAACTGGAATTATATATAACTGATAGTCCAATAGAAAGGATCGGGGGAAGGTTTTACAAAAAAGAATTACTAACAAATGAATTCGTCGCACCTAAAGAGTTATCATACGACTCGTCGAGTAGAAATTTATTTTTCATGTATATGGACGATGTAATACAGAATTCTGGTAGAGCTTTCATAAATGTAGTCACAAAAGAGGCGGTGAAAATTAAAGGAATAGAAAGGAACAAAGCTACAGCAGTCGATCCCGATACGGGTGAAGTTTACTTTGGATCAGATAATGGACTTTATAAATATGACCCAATAGATAAGAAAGCTGTAAACGTAGGTTTGTATAATGTGAACATAATGAAGATTGTAATTAGAAATAATGAAATGTATTTAATTGATGCAAACAATCATAAACTGTATAAAGTGTACGACGAAGGAGCGAGAACTGTTTCAATTGCAAATTACAAAACCGTGATGAATTTTGATGTGGACAGTTTTGGAAATGTGCACTTCGTTACTATGTGCGGGTTATTTTGTGCAGTTAAAAGGAGCGAGGTAGTGAAGAATAAAGATTTGCCTACAGCGTACCATTTTATAGTTGGGGAAGATAAGACTTATGCTATTTACGATGACGGACTTTATAATATTGATTGTCTCAATGGCACCGCAGAGAGGGTTGCCGATCTTCACTTCGATCCCAGGAGTATAATATTCGGTGATTACGGTGATGTATTTTATACGGAGGATGATAACATATTTATGTTAAAACCTATACGCTCTTATCTATTGTACAGGAAGAAGTATTCATAATTAACAAGGACAAATTAAAACTGTACATTGTAGATAAACCGAGATATTTATTAAATAAATTATTGTCAATAATATTTTGTTTATAATGATAAAAATATTAGTAATTACAACTCAAAGTCATCATGATTCAGGGTCGGCAATGTACGGGTATAGTCTATGGCGTGGCAAGTCTGCATGTTGAGTTCCCGAGCATGTATCGGAAAAGGCCCAGACGACATTTGTACATAGGAAATCGTCATCATCATCATTACCATCTTCCTATCCATATCCCACTTTTTCACTTCCATTATTTTCTATTCCAAGTCGTTCCGAATTCACTCTCATTCTGGCCATATTATCTTTCCATCCATGTATTTTTAAGTCTTCTTCTACCCTTAAAGCTGTCCACATTCATACTTAATACTATTTTTAAAATATGCTCCTCATTCCTGCTCATGATGTGGCCATCTATTATAGCAGGAAATATTTCAAAAATGTATATGAGTAAAGAGTAAAAAAAGTGTTTTGACTCCTTCACATTTAGACCCTAAATGTGAAGAAGCCAAAATATTTTTTTTTTTGTTATTGTCTTAATGTCTGTATGTTTCAGTATCACGTAATTACATCAATTTTGATGCAGTTTTTACAGCTGTATCGGTCTGAAGGTTTAGCTTAAAATCTGGCATGTTTTATCTTAAAACGCTATCTAGAGATGGTCTGTCACATTGATCTTCCTACTACCAAAATTCTGGGGGGAAGGAATTGTGAGTAATGCGGACTACCAGTCCCACAGCAATATACCCTGTCAAGTCGACCCTGTCAGCTCTCCACTGGAATCCATCGTGCTAAATTCCAGGTGTATTCATCACGGTGGGCTAACCTTACCTGCCTTTTCATTTTTACCTATCATCACTCACAAGTGCCCCGCCAGCGTTTACTGGTAGCGCAGGCTGGGTTACCATCTCATTACCATCCATTAAAAAAATTACCAAGATCCACGCACGTAGAAAGTTTTTTTTTACAACGCAGGGGGCAAACGAGCATGCGGCTCACCTGATGGTAAGTGACTACCGCCGCCCATGGTCACCCACAACACCTACGACATTGCAGGTATGCAGGTATGCCGGCCTTTTAAAAAGGAATATGCTCTTTTCTTGAAGGTTATGTTGTCGTATCTGTTCGGAAATACTGCTGCTGGAAGTTGATTCCAAGTAGTAAGTTGCAGACAAAAGTTTAGCTTAAATAAATAAATCACTCACAATTTCATTATCGTGGTTGTGTCCATGTGAGTTTCCATGCCCATGGTCATATGAGTCTGAACCGGAGCCGAAGGAGCTGGGCGGCAAGTAATTATTGCTGGGCGCACTAAAACCTGGAATTGGTAAAAATTGTCCACCAATATTAGGCTCTTTACACAGTGATCGCAGCGTTACATACATTGGGGCTGATTCTGAAACGACCTTACTCTAAACCTATCTCCATTATTCAAATTTCATTTTGATATAATTGCGTAACCTTAATTCTAAAGACCTATATGAACAAAATTTCTAATATATTTAAGTCAAAATTATTATAAATTTTAGTTTACGACTTAAGTAGCCACTTGCTTAAGTGTCTTTCACCAGAGGGAGACTTTGTATAAAAGTCGTTTGCTGCACCTCTGTCCCATTCGTGTTTCAACCGTAAAACAGTTGTGTTTGCATGGCTGTGTTTCGGTTTGAAGGGTGCAATATAGCGTGAATTTACAGGGTACAGAGGAATAACACCTGAGTCCTCAGGAATGGCAACGCATGGGTAGGTATCACAGGCGAAACAGTATACTCTGTTATGTCCATGGTACTGCTCATGTCTATAGACGACGATTACCACTTTCCATCAAGTGCGCCATCAGCTTGTTTGCCATTCTAAGTGTCCTAAAAAAAGCTTGCTGGCGGCAAATATGTATATCTGGGGGGAAAGAGATTGTTAGTAATGGAGACTGAGAATCCCATTACTAGCAATATACCCAACCAGGTCGACCTCCTCGTAGTTCCCCCTGGAAACTATCATGGTTAATTCCTGATGAATTCATCATGATGGGCTAACTGACCTGTTTTCATTCTCATCGATCACCCTTCACTGGTGCTCCGCCAGCGTATCCCGTTAGCGCAGGCGGAGTTACCCTACCATTTTCACCCATAAAAAAATATGTATATCTATCAATGCACCAGAGGACGCCATCCTCGAGTAATGGTACAAACCTGTATTGGGTGGGATGTAACTGTTGCTTGGTGCGTTATAGTGGTTGGTTTGGTAGTTGTTCCGCGGCGGCTGGTAGTTGTACCCCACAGGAGGCTCGCAGCTCACCATCGCAGCCAGTACGGCGACACTGAGGACCTGGAAATGTAAAACAAATAAATTGCACCTAGAGTTATATACAATTAGATCAATAATGGTGTGTGTGAACATCATAACCGTGATCTCGCTTTGATCGTTCAAAGGGGATCAGATTATTTGTAATGGCGGCCCATTGTTAGCATTATACCCTGACTGGCCGGTCGACCCCCACACAGTAACCATTGAATACCATCGAGGTAGATTTGAGTTGATTGTTTGTTATAAAATATAAGAAATGTAAACCAATATTTCAAATATGAGGTATCTAAACTCAGTACTTTTAACTGCGCATCGATAGTCAAGATGGCCATACGATTTTATAAATATAAAAAGTGACGTATCGTAAGAGACAACTAAGGGCACTTAATGATCGAGGGATGGGCAGCAGCGTCCCTCTTAAAATATCACCAAAAGCCTAACTGCATTTGCCAACCCGCTTACCAAGCGTGGCAAATACTGGCAAAAGCCCCTTTATGAAGAAAACCTATGTTCAGCAGTGGCTAGTTAATTGGTATTATCATTTTTCCACAAAACTGCAATAGATTTTTTATCTTCTTAAAATTTGTATGAGACCAAAATAGGAGTCCCTATCTAAGCCTATTCCATAAAAAAAATCAATAAAATCGGTTTATAATTGAAAACACGAATGGATGGAGACGGTATGTCGCATTTTTTTATTTATACTATTGTATGCGTGGATGGACATGTTATACGCACACTAACACACGTGCCAGGGGGGAAAGGGATTGTTAGTAATGAAGACTGAGAATCCCATTGCTAGCAATATACCCAACCAGGTCGACCTCCTCGCGGTTCCCCCTGGAAACTATCATGATTAATTCCTGATGAATTCATCATGATGGGCTAACTGGCCTGTTTTCATTCTCATCTATCACCCTTCACTGGTGCTCCGCCAGCGTATCCCGTTAGCGCAGGCGGGGTTACCATACCATTTTCACTCATAAAAAAAAAAAAAAAAAACACACGTGCCAGCCCTAATATTGCAAGAGTCCATTGGCCACAGTGACCGTTTACTATCAGACGGGCTGTATGTTTGTTTGCCACTTTAGTGGTATAAAAAAAAACCATAAGTTATAAAAATCGAGTGTATGTACCTATAAGTTGTGTTAGTGGAACACAATGGAATTTATTTTAAAATAAACTCTGATTATAATAGATGATAAGTCGTCACTTGTACAAAGTTTTATTGTACAATAAAGAATAAATAAATAAATCAAGGGCTTCTATTTGCCCGCCGGATGATGTGTGGGCGGGCGAGATAGGTGCCTCGGGGCGTACCCCATTACCCCGGCTTCTACTCCGGAGGCGACAACCTCCGGGTCGCTGTATTTGCAGCCGGCATACACTGTTGGCCTGTGTATGCCGGCGTGGTGTCAATAAATAAGTGCGTTTATATATATAATATTAATAGTAAGGTTCCAGCTGGCGCTGTAATTGTCCAAGTAAAAACAAGAGGGTACAATGCCATGAACACAAAAGTGGACGGTAGAATAAGACAAGAGCGCCTACCCAAACAGGCCGAGCACATATTTACAAAGTTGTTATTAACAGGACCTTCTAATATTCAGGAGAAGGGATTATTAGCAGTAATGCGGACTACTAGTCCCATTGCTAGCGATATTCCCTGTCAGGTCGACCTCCACGCGGTTCCCGTTGGAAACCATCGTGCTGAATTCCAGGTGTATTCATCACGATAGGCCAACTGATCTGCCATTTCATTCTCACCTATCATCCCTCACTAATGGGTCCCCACCAGTGAGGGATGATAGGGACCAAAGGGATTATTAGTAAAAAAGTTTAACAGGCCCATTGCTAGCAATACACCTTATCAGGTCGACCTCCACGCGGTTTCCCCTAGAAACCATAGTGATTACATTTTGTTCAATTGGTCACTATGGGCCAACTGACCTGTCTTTATCTCCACCTATCATCCTTCACTAGTACCCCGTCAGCATATACCGATAGCGCAGGCGGGGTTACCATTCCATTATCATCCATTAAAAAACTTGCTACCACTCATACAGTAGCGAAAATCCAAAAATACGGCATACCACTTTCATCCATTCATGACTTCGATTGATAAAGAGATAAAGCCCGCTTGGTCTAAGTCCGCTTCGATAGATAATTTTCCATTGAACTAAATCAGCTATTTAGGAATCAGCTTGAGAATCAGGTGTCATTTGACCAGTTCCTTGTTGTTATCTCATACGATTATGTTGTTATGGCGTCATTTCCCACGTGTAATGAATGGAGGCATTCCCATGGGTTATGTACTGGTTTGCAATAGCATATTATGCTCTAGCTGCCAACTAAATACCGGCTCGTACCACTTGACCTATCTAGATAAGAGTGATGCCTAAACAACTTGGATGATGTACTTCGTGGTGCAATATGTAAAACATTTGAAGTAAATTGACGATCTTGGCCGTGTGCCACATTTTTAGCAAGACTAGAATATGGGGTTCTTTAAACAGGATGTATTAAGCTTTCTTTAGGGTTGACAACGCGCACGTGTCACCCCTAGTGTTGCAGGCGGCCATAGGCTACAATGACCGTTTACCATCAGACAGGCTGTATGCTTGCTTGACATCTTTGTAGTTTAAAAAAAATTGTATTCACTCAATTATTCATTCATTAGTTTATCCATACAATAAAATAAAAAAATAAATAATAATACTTTTACTAATTTGTATTTATTTTTTTATAACCAGGCAACCAACACTTGATAGCACAACCAAGGACACCCAGATTCGAATCAATCCAGAAAATTTCGTTTAGATAGATAGATAGATAATTTATTTGCATTACTTACAGCACACAAATTACGACATACATATACAAAAAAATAAAGCGAGATAACATAAATGATAAAAAAAAATACACAAAGCTAAATACAATTTTCATTTGTGAGTGTGCCATAGCAATACAAAATGGCCACAACTCAGTTTATTGCTTCGCCCTCAAAAGAGCAAAGCACTGATATTCTGTTGCGGCCAAAGGGAATAGGGTAACAATAAAACAATACTACCAGATTATCCGTACAATAAAAAGATAGATATACAGTAAACAGACAGATATTCTGTTTACTAAGTTGACCGGACCAGGAATCGAACCCGGTACATCATCAACGCAAAATAACATTACGTATGCGAAACGCGGCACCACTTACGAGTATTGTATGGCTGTAGCCCACTCATACGTAAACGATATATCTCCTTTGGAAAACACACTCTATATCCTGAGGAGATAGAAAACCTCGCTACAAAAAGCATCTTAAAATTCCTGTCACTGATAGAAATTAGCAGCGAACTTGAAAAAAAAGGGCGAGCACAAAAGATTGTGGAAAGGTCGTAGTGTCACAGGCTTTTCTGTCTGAAAAAAGCCAGTCTTTCAACAGTAATAAATAATAGTATCCAATGATGTCCTAAAATTGATTAAGGTACGATGGGACTGACGTGCCTAAAAGGACAAAAGTCCCTAAACAAATAAAGATAACAAAAAAAAATAAATATACGATACAGTGTCAACCCAAGCGTACTTTTAATTTACAAATTATGAACTTTCACTTGCATTCAATTAACAAAATGGTTCCAAGCCCATTGTTCCACGGTAGCGCCATTGTTATGACAGATATAATCACTTAGTTTGTTTTCGTGCCTCCATTTTGAAATTATAATATTAACATCTGTTCTTAATTATATGTATATATACATATTTGGTTAACTATTTGATTAATCACCATCGTCATATCAGACGTTAACTGTCCCCTAATCAATATAGGCATCTGCCATAGACTACCATAAGAAATGACGCCAAACTAACCTGCATCCATTAGGGAGAAGAGATTGTTAGTAACAAGGAGGTTAGACCCCATTGTTATCAATATACCCTATCAGGTCAACCTCCACGCGGTTTCCCCTAGAAACCATAGTGACTAATTTATCGTTGAATTCGTCACATTGGGCTAACTGACCTGCCTTTCATTCAACCAGAGAGAGACTTTATACAAAAGTCAATTGCTTGGGTACCTCTGCCCCTTCGTGTTTCAACCGTAAAGCTGTTATGTTTGCATGGCTGTATTTCGGTCTGAAGGGTGGGATACGGCGTGAATTTACAGAGTACAGAGGAATAACACCTGCGTCCTCAGGAATGGCAACGCATGGGGGGTATCATGGGCGAAACAGTATACTGTGTTATGTCCATGGCACTGCTCATGTGTATAGGCGACGGTTACCACTTTCCGTCAGGTGGGCCGTCAGCTTGTTTGCCATTCTAAGTTGTATGAAAAAAATATCCCTCAATGGTGCCCTGCTAATGAATACCGATAGTGTAGGTGAGGTTACCATTCCATTATCATTCATTAAAAAAAACCTGCATCCACTGACAGTAAGTCAGTTATTTTAATAATCTAATTTATCCGGCTATTTTATATACCCAATACGATATTATTATGTATATTTATATTATTATATGTATTACATCTCCCATATCTAGAAGTAATAAAAATTTTCATTGTATCTCCCACCAACTTGTTTATAATTACTCCTCTCCATCCAAAGGTTGCCTGGAAGAGATCGCTCTTAGCGATAAGGTCGCCCATTGTTTTCTCACTGTGATTATTTCTTGTAATTGTTTATATTTATAATAAGTTTACTATTGTAATCTTTTGGAGGAAACAATAAAGAGTATCTATCTATCTATCTATCTATTAAGTACATTAATTAAAGCGAGATGTTGTGATGAAAAGAGCTGTATGGCCCCTGAAGAAGTCTTCCGAATGAAGTCGAAACAGTTGTCGGAAACTACAAAAGCACAGTGAGTTCATTAATTTCCCATGAATTATGTATGTAGATATCAAATAAAAGATGAACATAAGTTTAAAAAAAAATAACAATAATAAAATAATATAAGTATATTATTTTATTATTGTTATTTCTTTTTTAAATTACTTGTATTTATTAACTATAAAAAAGTAGGAT